GGAGGACATTGAGCAAGGAAGAAAACCCTCAGTTTGGGCGCGCTGGCTTGTACCTGTGATCCCAGTGGTTTGGAAAGCCAAGGAGGTTGGATCACTTGAGCCCAGGAGTTCCAGACCAGCCTTGACAGCATGGCAAGACTTCATCTCTATAACAAACACAGAAATTAGCCTGGCATGGTGGTGGCACTGCAGTCTCAACTCCTGGGAAGGCTGAGGCGAGAGGACGGCTTGAGCCCAGGAGGTTGAGGCTGCAGTGAACTACGATGCTGCACTCCAGCCTGGGGGACGGAGTGAGATCCTGTGTGGGGGAAAAAAGAACAAAACAAACAACAAGAAACCCCAAACGACTTCAATCCTCATTATTTAATAACTTAAAATATAATGTATTTCAAATATAAATTAAGGCATAGGGTATAAAAAATCAACATACGATCAGAGAAATACAAATCAAAACCACAATATGATACCACCTTACTCCTGTAAGAATGGCCATAACAAAAATAAAATAAAAAAGCAGTAGATGTTGGCGTGGATGCAGTGAACAGGGCACACTTTCACACTGCTGGTGGGAACGCAAACTAGTACAGCCACTGCGGAAAATAATGTGGAGACTACTTAAAGAAGGAAAAGCAGAAGTAGCATTTGATCTGGAAATCCCACTACTGGGTACCTACCCAGAAGAAAAGAGGTTGTTAGTCACTATACAAAAAAGATACTTGCACATGCATGTTTGTAGAAGCACAATTTGAAAGTTGCAAAAATGTGGAACAAACCGAAATGCCCGTCAATCAATGAGTGGAGAAATAAACTGTGAGATATACATACATATATATATGTATGTATATGACGGAATACTACTCAGCATAAAAAGTGAGTGAGTAGTATTTGACTGAATGAATTAATGGCATTTTCAGTGCTGTGGTTGAGACTGGAGACTATTATTCTAAGTGGATTAACTTAGAAATGAAAAACCAAACACCATATGTTCTCCCTCATAAGTGGGAGCTAAGCTATGAGAATGCAAAGGCATAAGAATGATACGTTGGACTTGGGGACTCAGGGGAATGGGGTGGGAAGAGGGTGAGGGGTAAAACACTACAAATAGGGGCGGTGCACACTGCTTCCGTGATGGTGCACCAGCATCTCACAAATCACCACTAAAAAGCTTATTTATGCGATCAAATATCACCTGTTCCCAAATAACCTAAGGAAATTAAAAAAAAAATCAACATGTAGGTACTTGTACAATTCGTAAAAAATAAAACTTTTTTGTACTTTCTTCAGATTAAATTTGAAATAAATAAATAAATACAGTAGATAAGTGATAGATACATAAACAATAGGAGATGAATGATAGAAAAATAGATAAAAGATAATAAATGGATAGAAGATAGGTGATAGAATGATAGATGATAAGATGACAGATGACAGACAAAGGGGAGAGGGAGAAAGAGAAACTGGGTAATAGAATGTCGAAATAGATGTGAAATGCTTAAATAGTGGCCTGCACCACATCATCATTTAAGCATTTCACACCTGTTCTCACATTGTTTCCTCTATAACCCTATGAGGTAGATAATATGACTCCCTCCATCTTAAATGGCTCTAAATAACTTTCCCAAGTTTTCATTTCCGACAACTCAGAAGTTCCCCATGCAGCACCTTTCAAATCCACTGCTCATTCTCTCACCTTAGGAGTCATTGCTACGCTGATTATGGTATTATTTCATTCTGTGCATTTCTAATAACTGGATTGCATATACATGTGCCTCCCTTTGCAATAACACACATTGTTAAAGTGATCTTAATCATTTTGATAAATAGATCTATACTGTCCATATTTTTGCAACTCCATTTTCCTTAAGTGAAATGCACGTTTGGGGATTTATCTGCATGAATACACACAGCTCCACTTTACTTGTAGATACATTGACCCGTCCCTTTGCAGAGAATTGAGGTTCACCAACTTTACTAAAAAGTTGGTGAATCTCTATTGACCGAGAGATGCCTGGACAGGAAAGTTGACCAGGATTGAACATTAGAGCCTCTCATGACAGCATCCGAAACAGATCCACACCTATGCACCAAGCTTGAGAGTCACCTCCAGCACAGCTGGGACCTGATACAGACAGGCAGGCCTGTCCCGGGCTGCCCCAGACCTCCAGCTGCAGGGTGGCGTTTCAATGCTCAGAAATCACTGAACACACTAATAGTGGGCAGAAATGTCAGGTAATTCCCTTGATATATGTCTTATCCTTTCCAGTTAGGTACATTTATATATATATATATATATATATATATATATATATATATATATATATAATTTTTTTTTTTTTTTAGGCAGGGTCTTCCTCTGTTGCTCAGGTTGGAGTGGAGTGACAGGATCTCAGCTCACTGCAGCCTTGACCTCCATGCTCAAGTGATCCTCCCACTTCAGCCTCCTAGGATGTAGGGAAAACAGACACATGCAACCATGACTGTGCATGCCATCATGACTGCCTCGCAATTTGTTTTCATTTTTTGCAAAAACAGGGTCTCCCTATGTTGTCCAGACTGGTCTTCAACTCCTGGGCTCAAGAGATACTCCCGCCTTAGTCTCCCAAAGTGCTAGGAATACAGATATGAGCCAGCATGCCAAGCCTCAATTAAATAGTTAATTTATACACAATCCCATAGACTAAGGAGTCCCCAGAGCTTGAAGAAAAAAAACAGGAAAGTTTGTCGTCTTGCACTTTCCTTTTAGAAAGTTTGCGATAAACTAAATTCGCTGTAATATCCACAAAAGAATAATAACTTAAAACAAGCAAGCCAACAGTCTTCTAAGCAGCACTGCAAAACAATTCTTGCTCTCCTTTAGCCCGAGATATTTTAGTAGAGAAAAGCAGTAAACAGTGGGTGTCTGCCATCCTCTACAGAATGCGAAGGTTGTCGAAAGCCACTGGCATCCAGGCCCTCTGCTTGGACACATGCACCTGGAAGCATTCACTCCTCTGCAGGGTTTAGATTAAGTGCAACAAAGAAGGCTGTTAGTGACTCTATCAGACGCCTGAGCAGCTGTGACTGTCATTTAGGCCTACTAATTTGTCATTATATCGTTCAGAGACAGCGGAGCTGAGGAATGGTGTCTCACGCTTGCAGGGGAGTGGATTTGAAGTGGGCAGTGTCCCTTCTTGGCCACATGGAGGCTTCGTGAGCCAGGGTGAATCTCAGGTTCTTTCTCAATCTACGTGGTAATTGTGGCTGTTTAGTTCCTTAACTGCAAGTAACAACAACTAAGCCTGGATAACTTGAAGAAAAAAAAAAAAAAAAAAAAAAGGATTTTATAGAAAGATTTGGGGTAGCTCCCAGAATTAAGAGAAAAGCCTGGTGGCCAGGTCATAGGAATGCAAGTGGCCCTATGGAATGAAAGATTGGTCTCCTGGCAGGGGCAGGTTGAGGGTAAATTCAGCCTGATGTACCTCGTGTGTGTGCCCTGTGGGTCAGGCCCCGATTCCTGGGAGAGGAGCGGGCCCAGCTCAACCACGGGGGTGTGCCTCCCCCACACCCGGCTGGGGACAGTGGAGAAATTGTGAGCAATGCTCACCAAAGCTGACCGTCATCGGGAGGAGTGACTCCCGGAGTACATCCAGGTGCCACTTCCACAGAAGAAGAGGACATAAACCGGGTTTCAACAGCCACAGGCGTCCGTGCTGTGGAAGGTAACACCCTTGCCTACTCTGCATCCTTTGTATGTCAGATAATTAGAGGACCCCCATAATTTTAGGAAAGCACTACAAGCAAGGCACAGAGCAGATGTGATTTGTTGTTTTAAACAACTGTACGGTGGAACACGTTGCAGGATCACTATCTTCTGGTTGCCCCAGAAAGCTTCAACTCATTGTCTTAGTAACTCCTGAGGGTATATTATGTGTGAGCATTCTGTGGAATGTTAAAATTAGTAATAGAGAGTACTTATTTCTCCTTGAATTCTTAGCTTGTGGTAATTATTTACCCAATGAAGCAAAAGAAGATTCACTGGTAGGATGACAAAAAAACTCAGAAAAAAATTAATTGCATAAGGAAGGGAATAATGGATGAATTTAATAGTGCGATGGTTTCTTGAAAAAGAAGAATGTTGAAACAAGAGAAGCCTCACCTGTACTATCACCTCTGCCTCTCTGTGCATCATTGGGTAAATCAATTAACTTATTTAACTTTCTACTTCTTCATCTAAATCATGAAAGTGGCAAAACCCACTTGGTTGGATTGCAGGGTTTTGCAATGTCTGCACGCGACAAAGCTCAGCGTCTTGCTCTCAGTATTTCCTCAATAAATGGCACCTTAATGCAGTTGCTGGCCCGCAAGACTCAGATTTCAAATTTGACATCAAAACGTTGTGACTTCGAAGCCAAAGCAGAGCTCTCTATTTTTTTTAAAAAAATTATTGGTTGTTTTTCATTTTGCAATAACTTGACTCTCAGAAAAATTAGTGTATTATTCTGTTTAACGGCAAGATATTCAGTGTGATGAGCCCCCAAGGACTTGCAAAGCATTGTTTTCTCTCAGCCCAGAAATGAACGGGGGATGGCTGGTTCTGAATTTTAAAAGCTGTATTTTTTTTTGAGCCTTCTTTCAGTGTGATATTTGGAATGCTCTATTAAGTAGGTCTATAATTCTCTTACCTGTCATTTTTTTAGTGTTGTGACTGTTTACAAACAGAGCTCCCAAATTGAAAAGAAATTATAAAAATCATAGGTTTCGGTTTGTAGGAAACCAAGTGCTCTTACTGTTATTAATGCAAACCATCAAGAAATCTGTGGCTTTCAACGTTGCTATCCTGTGTATCACAGTTCCTGCTAAGTGCGCTATTGACTAACCATGACGGTGACTGTCTTGGGAAAAATATGGAGCTTCATCTTGAATACCATAAAGGCTCATTATGAAGACTCTTATTCTTCTTCCCTCCCCTGTGAGGCACTCAGGTGTGCATAGTAAAGGGAGAATAAATTCACACACGAAAATAGAAATCTAAAATTAAATATTTAATGAGAACTCTGATTTGCTTTAAAGATCGGTGGCATTGCACAGGCTATATTACACCCTCTTTATAATTTTTTTTGACAAAAAAAGATACTGTTTATTTTAACAGGCCACTTTAATATTGATACATGTGTGATAGGATTGGAACTGAAAATCAGCTAGAGATGGTACATTTTACATTATTGGGAAAATTACAGTTCTGTATTGTAAAAACATTTATTTTTTTAACAATGTACCTACATTAATCAAAAAATTACAGCATATTTAATAATTTTACAAATTCTTCATAAAAAATATATCTCTGTACAAAAAGGTCTTTCGCACCTACGTCGTGACAGCAGCGTGTGGTGGGGCGGGAGGGGGTCAGTGATGACAGTGGGTCTTCCTGATCATAATGCCAGCGTTCTTTTTTTTTTAATCCCCTTTTTATAATAGCTTTTTTTGTCGTTGTTTACAAAATATTTTACAGAAGAAAAAAATTATTGCAGCTAGCCTGAAAAAAGGCAAGATGTGTGTGTAAAACAAGCAGCAGTTTTAAACAGCTCTGAAGCACATGTCCTGTGTCAGCGTGGGGTCGCGCCCCTCACGGCTGTTCCAGTTGCCTTCCGGGAAGAGTCTTCTAGACCTAACTCAGCAAGCACAGCTCCTGACTGCCCTGAAATGAGATCCTCCAGCACCTCGCGGAGCCTCTGTTCAACACTGCACACGGCCCTAGGAAGAAACTAGGCAGAATTCTCACAGGAGAATTTCACTGAATCTTTTTTTTCACTTACATAACGTGCTTCAAACTGGCAACCCTAGGACAGTTTGACCTTGCACACAGAGGAAAATCATATCTAATCTGACATGTGGTTTCTTGTATGTATGTATGTACGTCCTGTCATTCCAGGGTATCATAGCATCATTTACCAGGGAGCAGGTCAGGGATGTGGGAACAGAGACGGTAATTCAGACTCGGAAGTCAGCATTTTGCACCTAGTTTGAATGACTCAAACTTAGATATGTACAATATATATATATATATATCTCTATATATGTATGTTTATATATACATGTAATATATATAGTAACCCTGTTCTCCCTTGCACACGAGCCTCCTCACGCTTTCCATCATCTTCTCTTTGCTTCGTTCAATGTGTGTGTTAGGAGCACAACTCCCAGTGACCTCGTCCAGTCTACTGTGAAACGGCAACGTAAGGATTCCCACTGGCAAAGCGAATCTCCAAGGATGTGGGAGGTTGGCCAGGGAAGAGTGACGTGCAGAGAATTCAGCATAATAATACAGAATCCAACAGCATGGGGTTCACAAAGGGGTACCTAGGAGAGGCCAGGGAGTCACCAAGCAGAGGAGCCCCTTCCGGCGAGGAACGCAACACTGGGAGCTGAGCTCTACGGAAACGTCCAAATCAAAACGCGTGACTCTCGAGAGAATGCCCTATCATCCTGACTGCTTTTCCTCTTTCGCATTTGAAGTTCTACGTGGAAACATTCAGTAGACCGACAGACCAATCCATCTTAAAGCTAGGTGTGAATGTGTTCACCCCGGCAAAGTGAAGGCCACTTTAAACATTCTGACATTTCTGTTACCAATGCCAATTTGAAATGTGAAACTGAGAAAATCTGCCACAATTGGAATGAGCACTGAAATCTCAAATAATAAAATAGGCATTATCTTTTCAAAAACACTTTTATCAAACAAGTCTAAGTAAAAATAAACATGTTCTTCACTTTGAATTGGTTACATAAACATCCTCACGGTCACATCTTCTACTTCACGTTTTGATTTTTATTCACCCTGGGGGGTTATAATGATTTTATTTGTACCATACTTGTCATCTACCTATAATGGAATTTAAACTTGAAAAGTTACTGAAATTACCTTTCCATCTGGAATTATAGAGCATGAAACAAATAACAAATGAACGTATAAAATATATCATCATGAGAGGAGAGTGTGTGTAATTTTCCTTCCCTCTAAAAGAACACTTAGTATTTTGATCCTGAACAATTTTCTCTGAGTTCAAGGTGCTACTGCGGTATATTGTCTTTCAATGCAATACCAAAGACTGATGGCAACGTAAGGGAAAAAAACACCGAAAACACTGCGAGAGTGAAGACTGCATTGTGAGCTAACACCAACAAGTTCATCAGCTATCTAAAATAAATTACTATTCACAGTTTTACCTGGCAAATAGAGATTTCTGCAGACACCCTGCTATTGAGTAGAGGCAGGAATTGGAGGAGGATGGCAGTAAAGGAGAAGAACATGAGAAACAAGGAGGCTTCCATTTCTTTCTCACTGGCCCTCTTCAATGAATTCAACACCTGAAGGGAGCTAATTGAAGCAATAACAAAATAAATCTCTTCAATAGTGTATTTCCTTTTAAAATCTGTGCCATATCTGGGAATGGTTTTCTCTAACACTTCAACTAAGCTGATGGTGGAATGTTTAGCTTGACAACATGAAAGAATGCTTATATACAATGGACAGTGTGTATAAACCCTGTGTACATAATTTATTTTCTATCAGAATCTTAGTCATTCATAACACACTAGTGCAAAAAATTGTGCATCAAAAACTCTGCGATAGAACAGCTGACTGGGAAGTTTGCAGACATCCCTAGACATGAGCACACAGGGGAGCTGTGAGGTCCTTGAAGCGCGTCAGGTCTCAGAAGGACACAGTGGAGCATTTGGAGGTGTCTGCCTCTATCAGAAAGGTGTCTTCTTCCAGAACGCTTTTTATTTTATTTAATTTTTTCAGAGAATTTGTGTTCATGGGGGCTAAAAAAAAAAAAAAACCACACACACACACAAGAGAACACTTATTGTGGTGCTACTACCATTTTGTCACTGCACCTAAAGGGTGTATCCACGAGCCCAGAAGATTGCATTGAAAGACATCCCAGCAACACAGAAACAGGAAAGTCTGAGGCATCGAGTATGACGTGTCGGCGTGACGTGGCGGTCTTCCTGGGGTGTGCCTTGATTTCAGACAGATGCAGCCAGGCATTCGGAACCCACTTGCAGAATGAAAATGCACATGTTGTTAGATCTGCAGAAGACTCCGGCGCATGGGAGTGGAGATCCCCGCTGCACGATGCCAGCAGACAACGTTGAAGGTCGCTGCAGTAAAGCCAGGGTGGAAGGGAGAGTGGTCTATGGCACCAAAGGAATCACTGCTAGTCCGTCAGAGGTATGGCTATGGATCAGTCCTGTTGGGGCACTGAGGGCTATACCACTGTACAGACTGTGTTTAGAGTTGTGTCAAACCTCACAGCCTTGGCTTCTGTGGGTTTTAAGTTTGTGTCATACATGGGATTTTCAAACGATGCTTGTCCATTGCTGTTTTCATGTCCAGCATAGCCATTGTATTGAACTTTTGGTCTCGTTCTAAGAAGAAGAGAAAACAAGTCATTAGCATCCTGGTTTCAGTTGGAGACTTAGCAGCTGGGACATTATGCAGGAGACAATGTCTATACATCAGGGAGTAGTACAGCCGGGACATCTGCAGAGAAGGAGGCGTCCACACCTGCATACATGTCCGTGTATTTGTTTAAACTGGCGATTGGGAGTATAAAATGGGTTTTAAAGGTGAAGCAATTTTGAAAATCAAATAATTATTTTTTTGAGATAGGGTCTCACTCTGTTGCCCAGGCTGGAGTGCGGTGGCACGAGCACCACTCACTTCAGCCTTGACCTCCTGGGCTCAGGCAACGCTCCCACCTCAGCCTCCTGGGTTGCTGGGATCAAAGGATTATGTGTGCTTCCTACAAATGCCCCAGGGAAATTGAGCAGATCGCAAAGGCTGAATTTGGTAGGTTTAGTTTTGGACATCTATCTATCACTGATAAGTTATACAGCCTTGGTTAAGTCACGAAACTCTCTACTACTCTGTAAAATAGGGATGTGGGCCTATACCTGGCCTGTAGGGGTGTAACATTAAACCAGATTGCAAGTTTAAGCTTTTAGTTCACCGTCATTGCTAATAGTCACAAAAAGTCATTTTTTATTTCATCTCTGTTGAGTTAAAAATGAATCTGTTTATAGAAAATAAACTATACTCGTTATTAAACTCTTATCACATTTTCTGGTTAAAAGAAAACCCCTCCACACAAACTATGATTAGAGAATTGGGGGATTTTCAGATTGAAAAGATGGACTTGTGTTTGGTCTGGCTCTGGCTCCTTTTATTCTATCCGTATTCCAGAAGAAACCAAATAAGAAAAACGTGCCAGGTGGCAAAAACAGAACTTTGAGGGACATAAGGATGCTCACAAAGATGTCATTTGACATAGGGTGTGGAGAAACTCCTGCGGAGTGACCTGCTCGTCAATTTCCTCGTGTTACACACGCTCATTAAGAAAAAGTGAAGTAATCAGCGCCTGGTCCTGAGAAAAGGGCAGAAAGGCAGTTCGTAACTGCCTCTCGAGTGGGAGAGGTCCACAGCATCGCGCTTGGAAAATGCACTAGCAGCGATAGTGAGCCAACGAATCCAGCCCCTCGTTAACCAAGTGAAGACCTGGCTAAAAGGTTCACTCGCTCCTGTGGATCACAAGTTGCCACAGTCCCCTCATTACTGGGGAAATGCAATAAAGACACAGGCACAGGTAGCTAACACACCTGTGAAGCAACATTCTATTTTGTATTTCAAAAACAGATATAAGAAAGCATATATTTAAGGAGGCTATTTCATGAGTTATTAAAAAATAGTATCATGCCAGTTTTTGTTTTATTTTAACCAGAATTAAGTGAAGCATCTGTATTATGTCCTGATATTTACTTAACACATGTAATTTTATTTTGGGGGTTCATAATTTCTTATTTGTAGTTAATGCTACCATTTCAGTAGTATTTTAGAGTAGTCTGGCATTTACGGATTCCTCCAAGTAATGTATTATCCACGTAGAGATAAAATGTCTGAGGAGATTACAGTTCCTCCAAAGTAATTCTTTCCTTCTGGCATCCGCATTAATCCCAAGGAAAGGATCTAGGTCATTAAAGTTGTTTGTCCCCAAGTTTTGACATTCTGTAGTTAGTAGAGTTTTACCAATTAATCCATATTCAGAACACGTTTTCACGAAATGGAACATATATACTGCCTACTACATACGAAGAGCTAAATTTTTATTTTTTATTTTTTTATTTTTTTTAATTTTTAATTGGATTTTAGGTTTTGGGGTACATGAGCAGAGCATGCAAGACAGTTGTGTAGGAACACACATGGCAGTGTGCTTTTCTTTCCTTCTCCCCTTCACCCACATTTGGCATTTCTCCCCAGAAATGTTTATTTGTTGAAGGAAAGAATCAGTGAAATATTTATCCATCATAGATCGACAGAGTTAAAGGTGGCCATAGAGAACATTCTCTTCAACCTTTTGCTGCAAGGTTGAAATACCTTCTAAAGGTTCTCATGGCTGGCCATGGAGGCTGAAAATAGACATAGAATCCCTTATTTCATGTCACAATTGAACATGAAAGAAAAAGGCATATTATTTCTCAACTCAGTTGTTTATTCTCTTATTTCTTAGATGTGGGCCGCTTAAAAAGTAGGGCAGAAAACAAAAAAGACAACAAAAAATCTTGACGAATAAGCTTTGTTAGTGTAAGAAAGAGCATTGCTCTCACTCATAAGTGGGAGCTGAATGATGAGAACACATGGACACATCAGTGGGGACAACTCATACTGGGGCCTGTGGAGGGGTTGAGGGGAAGGAGAGCGTCAGGAAGAACAGCTGGTGAGTGCTGGGCTTAATTCCTGACTGGTGGGTTGATCTGTGCAGCAGATCACCACGGGACACACTTGCCTAGGTAGCAAACCTGCACATGTACCCCAGAACTCAAAATAAATGTTGATTTAAAATTAAAGAACATTGCATAGTAATAGAAGCTTTGCATGCATGTGAGCACAAGAGTATGTCCATGACTTAAACCCAGAGTTTACACTCACAACATTCTCACACAAATGGTGTCTCTGCAGTACCTGTGTTTGTAGAGGTAAAATGCAAACCCTGATAAAATTAGCGCAAAGAAAGGAACCAGAATGGCAGCCGCCACAGAGCCGCTGCTGGTGCCGTGGTAATGATTTGAAGAGTCTTGATCTGGGTTTAAGGGATCTAGAAGAGAAAGAAAACATTTAATTTGTTGTTACTGTATTCTGCTTAAACAAGGAAATATGCACCATAAATTTTATAAATGGATATGAACACTGCCAGAAGCAGAGTTGCCATTCCACAGGCAAGCAGCTGACATACTTTTCTCAATATTTTAGCAGCCACTTAATGACCAAGAGCAAAAGAACTGTTTCTTCCTGATGCTGGTGTAGACTATGAAAGAGGCTCCACGTTTGAAACGTGAGAAAGGCAAAAAGGGTCGCGGTACTTCCTGCCTTTTGTTTACGGTTGTAGATACTTTCATGAAAACTGACTGGAGGCATTTATATGCTCTTTCTACATTCAGAGATCAGTAACAGGTGCTGCTTTCTTATGTCCTAAGGCCAGACCTGGCAAAATATATCACTGACATTATGTAAATATTCCAGTTATCCATAAAAATGGCATTGCATTCTTCATATGCGAATAGGATGGTGTCATCTGCCTTTATTTTAGATAGATTCTGAAATTCACTGCGGAGTGTAGAAATATTCAAAAGAAAAGTATAGCTCAATGTAAGAATGCAAGTTTCCACAAAGACACGAAATAATGCTAAAATACGCCTTTAAATTTATTTATATATATATACATACACACACACACACACGCACAAATACATTATATATATGTAAATACTTCAAGTGTCCTGAACGTAATAGAATCATCCATTCTACAACCCGTAACTATGGAGTGTCTTATTGCACGCCACTGAGAGGAAAGCATTAAAAACTCAAACCCACAAACCTTTATTAAGCAACTATTGCCAAAGAAGAATTGTAGTTCTTGAAGAGTTTATTAATAAAATATAATTTGGAGAGGTGTTTGGCCTAATTGCATGGAGTCACTTAATGCAGGTGTGCAATGAATTATGATGGGCGTCATCTCAATAAAGCAGAATTGAGAAGAAGCTGATCTGGTTTTCATATTTCCAGAATTTATAAAATGTCAAATTCAAAGAGATGTTGCTTTGTGCATTGTTTTATAAACCAGAAATGTCAAAAAAAATCAATCAAATATTTAAAGTCTTTAAATCACTATTTGTATCAAGATTCTTTAATTTTCATGTGAAAACTTTCAAATGATATTATTTGCCATTTGCTTCCATAAATGCAGGATCGTGACTGCCTAGCATCTTAACGTCTAGCAGGAACATATTTTGGAATAATATTGACTTTTGCAACTACACATCTTTTTGAGATCTGTCCCATTACCATGTAAAAGAAAAATGCCAGACCCTTGCTGGAGATGTGAGCGCCTGGGTTACAGACATGTAGTGAGGGAAGCCAACTGGCTGTTCTCAGCGCAGGCCCTGTGTTGGAAGTGAGGGATGAGAAACGTCCTGAGATAGCTGAAACTTTGTTGCACTGGCTGAAGCGGTTCTAGAGCCCCGAGAGCAACATGAAGTGTGTGCGTTGGGGATGGTCCCAGCAGCAGCCGCGGTGGCAGCCATGACGCCCGGTGACCAGGGGTGGTGCTGTCGGACAGAGAGCACTGGTGCCCCACTCAGATGGCACCAACTTAATGGGTTGGTTGTGAGAATAAAGTGTTGGTACATCTCAAGTGCTTACAACAATGCCTGGCACAGAGGGAATGTTCACACTGGCTCATAATCGCAAAATGTAAGTTCCCTGAAGCCAGGGTTTTTGTTATGTTTTGGTTTGGTTTGGTGAGGTTTCCCCTTGAATCCTCAGAACCTGCAATAAAACCTAGAACACAGTATGCGCTCAATACATATTTGTGACATTAAGAAAGCAAGGTGGTGTCTTTGTAGCGTTTCCGCACCCAAATACCTTTGAGTTTCCGTGACACTGCCATACATTGCTCTTCTGTAATTGTGGGAGTATCTGCCTCATTCTTATAAATGTATATTCCACCTACATTAACTGCAGTTACTTTCTGTTATCTGAAAGCAAAGCTACATAGTTTTGTCCATAATAGATATCAAAATTCCAAATAATAAAATATTGGTAAAATTACACGTCATACGACACCTCACATAAAAACAGAAAACAACCCAGATGAAGGTCTTTGTGGATTATATAACCAAACTTACTGTGAGGTTATTATACTGCCAGCAGCTTCTAGTTAATTTTAGTTATTTACCCTTGTTTGAATAATTTGAAGGTTAATATACACACACGGTGGTAATTAAAATGTCATAAAGGAATATGAAAACAAATAATATAAAGGAAAATTAAAATAAAGAATCATTCTTTGCACTGTAAGGCAGTTCCTCTTTATAAATGAGGGATTTAAAAATTGTCCTTTCAACAATGTACTCTTGTTATTAGTTATTGTTTCTTTCTTATTTTTATAATTGGCAATATTATTTGCATTTTGTTTATGTGGCTTTTTAATCTTAACGTTATGTTTTTGAGGCTCTTCTATTGGCATATATGAATCAGATTTAATTTTTTAAGGTGTACAGTATTCTGTTTATTAGATATAACAACATTTATTGAGCCAGTCAGCTCTCCAAGGACATTTAGGGTGTTTTCAGTGTCTTCTATAAGGCTGCAGTGGAATCTCTTCCTATGTCTACTCATTAGCAGGAGCCTACAGTGTTATATAGGACAAATCTTCATGAGTAAAATTACTGATGAACAGAAGTTGTACCTTTTAGTGTCGCTATGTCCTACCTAATTGCTGTCCTAAGAGTCGCTGCAATTTCATTCAACCATTGTCCTGTGAGGGTCTTTACAATAACACAAGGACAGCTGTGCAGGATCCCCCAGCTACGCTCCTTTCCTTCTCCTTCCCCTCCCTTTTCCCCCTTTCCTTCCTCCTCCTCTCTTCGCCCTCCCTTCACATGTTATTACTGGTTCCATGACTGCTGCACTGCAAGTGCTGCTGCTACTACGATGATGAATCAAACACAGTACTTGAATTTATTGAAGTTATTCTTGAATTTACATCTCTTTAAAAGAGTGAGCATCTTTGCATGTGTGATAAGCTATGTCGTTCGATTTTCTTAAAAGCATTATCTAAACAAATGCACATCTAGGCCTGCAGCACTTAACGTGGGGGATACATTCTGAGAGATGCTTCATGAGGCAATTTTCTGACCTCACAGGGTGCACCCACACACCTAGATGGTGTTACCTACAGCACTTCCAGGTTATAGGGACAGCCAGTGGTTCCCTACACATGAGTAATGTCTTGCACTATGACATTACGACAGCTATGGAGTCACCCAGGAGATGGGAATTTTTCAGCTTTATTATATAATCTTATGGGATCACTGGTGTACACCAGATCTTTCACTGACCAATATGTCATTATATGGATCGTGACTGTCCTATATAATTCATCCACTTAAGCTGAACATACAATCCAAGGCTTTTACAGTGTATTCATTGGGTGGTACAATCATCACTTAGAAGACTGCTGTCCCTCCCAAAGAATCTCAGTATCTCTTAGCTTTATTCTTCCTCCATCTTTATTCTTCATCCCTACCTTCAGCCCCAGGTAACCACTAACTGGTACTCAATCTCTACGGATTTGCCTGTTATGGACACGTCCTACAATATTTGGCCTTTTTTTTTTATCTTTCTTCACTTGGCAGAATGTTTTCAAGGTTCATTCATGCTGTAGCATTCATCAGTACTTTATTCCTCTTCAGTGCTGACTAATATTCCATTGTATGGCTGTACTGCATATTGTTTATCCTTTCGTCCATTGATAGACATTTTGCTTGTATCCATGTTTAGGTTATTTATAAATAATTCTGCTCTAAGCATTCCTGTACGAGTTTCTATGAGACATATATTTTCAGTTATTTTGGCTACACATGTAGGAGTGGAATTGCTGGAGCTTACAGTAACTCTGACTATTTGACGAACGGTGACAGTGTTTTCCAGGGAAGCTGCATCATTTCACGTTTCCCCAGCAAAGTACGACAGTTCCAGTTCCTCCGCCTCCTTGCCACCCTTTGCTGTTTGACTTTTAGATCACGGATATCCTTGTGGACATGAAGTGGCATCCCTGTGTGTTTGATTTTCATTTCCCTAATGATGAGTATAATCGACATCTTTTCATGGGCTTATTGCCATTTGCATGCCTTCAGAGAAATATCTATTCAAATCTTTTGTCAATTTTTTAGTTAGGTTATTTGCCTCTGTATTATTGAGTCATAAAAGTTCTTTGCATATTCTGGATACAAGTCACTTACCCCGGTACATAATTTTACGTGTTTTCTTTCACTCTTTGTGTGTATGTTAGGGGTGGGTCATTCCATCTCAGTGGGGAAACTAATTTATTAAGTTTCTTATGCAAGTTTTTGCATTAAAGTTGTCTTTCAAGTTAATTTTGCTTTAGTATCCATTTAATGACCATCACGGTTTTTGGTTTATCTAGTGAACAGAGAAAATTAGGAAGTTGTTTATTTTTATCCATAAAAACAGATGCTTGCCACCATTCTTAAATGAATGATTGTTGTTGCAGAATTACTTAAACAGAAACTTTTCTAATTAGAGGCGGGACTTACTTGTGAGTCAAATTATTTTGTAAAGTAAATAGTTGTCCCTGACTATAAGCTCATTATCACAGGAGAATACAAATTCCTGGTTAAAGCTCTTATTTTGTTAGATTAAAAAGAAATGAGGTAATGCAAAGAAAACTTGTAAAAGCAAACTGATGGTTCAGGTCAAGTTCATTGGATCAGTAAACTCAGACATCTACACAGCATCTTGTACAGCTCACTGGGGCGTCCTTAAACAAAATTACTAGAGCATGTGCTACGGAGAGGAAGGAGGACACATAACGCCAGGATTTGGCTTAGAGCGAGAGAAAAAAACATTACCCATCATTAGTGTTGCTCTAATGCATTTATTCTATTTCATTACCTCAAAATCATGTAACCCAATTTAAAATATAATCTCAGCGACTGCCAACATTATAATGCAATCCTATTTAATAATACTGTGGTTGGAATAGTGGAAGTATTTTGTGATTAGTTATCCTTTTTAATCAAGTTCTTTTTTTCTTTTCTACAGGCCAAGCAGACTTTTTTTTAAAATTCAGCACTTTAATGAAAGTCTTACAAAATAAGTTCATCGGTGCTAATCATCACAAAATTGTACACTCACATTCCTCTGAAAGGTGGCTCTGGTATCAAGGCCAATATGGTAATATTCTACTTTAGAAAAATAATGTGTGAATAGTATTCTACAAGTAGGAGAAATATGGCACCAATGTTATTACAAAGATCCATTTCCTTTTATTTATGGGTTCTAACAAGTATAATGACATCTGTGCAAATACCTTTAGCATGAACAAAGCAGTGCTTCTGTGGTCTCTCAACCTCACAACAACCTTAAGAACTCCTGTACTGAGCTTTCAGATGAAGAAACAGGCTCGGGAGTACTGTCACTCATTCTAGATCACAAAATAGCAGCAGACGAGGCAACGCTCAGATCTAATGACTGTCTCCACAGATGTTCCTACTTTAATCACTAAGGCAAAAGTAACAGACTAGAGAAAGCTATAAAGAAGGGAGGATCCATCTGTCTGCCTATCTACGTAGAATAAGTTTTTTTCTCATTTGTAAGTCAAACCTTCTTCAACATCAATATATAGTCCTCGTTTTTAAAGAAATATACTGAATAATATTTTTTTCATAGAAAGTATAACTTGTCGCATAAAAATACTCATTGAAGCAATTCTTTTGGGACAGCTGTTCAACGTGCAGAGGTTATTTCTAACTTCCACTATTAAAATAATCCTGCTTTGGGCATGCCTGAATATGCAGAAAACAATTTTCACATTTGCCTGATTAAAAAAATTCTAGAGAGAGAATTAGTGGATAAAACAAGTACAAATTAAACGTACATTCACCAAAATTAAACATGAGGCTCTTTTTCTACTGTCAACACAAAACCATATTTTAATCTTTGCCATTCTGATAACTGAAAATAACCATCTTTGTTACCATATAGAAGTGTATATCTAATTTTGAAGATCTTTTTATGTTTCTTGGTCATTTTTAATTACTCTTACTTTTTTTTTTTACTTTTAGAACTCTTAATTTCCTAGGGTAACACAGTTTGCTTCTCCTTTGCTCTTCATCTTTTTCCTCTTTTTATAATAGCTTCTGATTGAGTAAAGGCATTAATTCCGTGTCTGGCATACTTGTTCCGTTAGTTCCGGATTTCTGTTTGTCTATGTTGCTATTCAAAATGTTTTTTTCGTTCAGCTGTAAAATATGTTAGTTTCTCCTATTATTTTGTTTAGGTTTCTGTTAAAGTCGTCTTTTCCATTTCTTCTTAGCAAAATCATTTGAAAGCCGAACTGGCTTTAAAAAATATCCTAAGTGTAATTTACCTTGTCTTTCTAGCTTAAATTTTCCAAAGTCTTTTCCGTGAATGTCACCTTGAAATGTAAATCCTCCTCTTTCAAGTCCGGATGATACCTAATATATAGGAAATAAAGGAAATAAAAAGGTATACAAAGGGATGAATAATATCTTATTTTACTATGTCTTTTAATATAACTGTCATAGCTCATATTTAGATACTACCAGTTTAATATTTTTTGTTTTTGGCACTCCTTTTGGTGACAAATTTATAGTTAAAGATCACAAATCAACACAGAAGCAAACTTCAACTGATATATGTAAATGCTCACAATCTCATTTTGATCTCGAAAATGGTAGTAAATTTTATAATATGTGTTAACTATACTTTCTAACGGAAGCAAACGTATGAACTAAGAAATAATCTACATCTGTAAAACTCGCTTTGTGTCCCAGCTGTTGGGCAGGGTACATCATGTGAGCTGTCTACTCTTAAGTTAGACAGTGAATTAGAACACAAACGGTTAACTTGCAAAAAAAGGATGTTTCATCTTAAATCTCTCTATTTATCTGACAATGATTTCTTTTAGAACAAGCAGCATGGTCATGAAGCGGTCTTGGAAAATTTCTGGCTGTACCACTCATGGGGTAATGGAGCGGTAACATCACAGACCCCGGAGTTCAGGTCTCACTCTGTCCTCTGCAGTAACAACCCCTTCATCGATGGCCAGCTTATTTCTCACTTCCTAGACTTGGTTTCTTCCATTACAAAATGAAGGAGTAAAATGGCCACCCTGTCAAGGAGAGGGACTGCTGAGTTTTCAAGGGGCAGACACAAGACTGCTCTACTCAGAAGCCTCCAATCCGTAGGCCTCTCCTCTGCACAGAGATGATTAGAAAGCCTGTGCTTTGTCACAGACCTCACACATGTACTTACATAACCATCCAGTCCCCAGTTGTCATTTTCAAACTTGCTTACAAAAATATCTGCCGGACCTTTAATTTGGAAAGCCTTCAGAAGTAAGTGGGCCTCCTCCTTCTTGTAAACACCTGTGAAAAGATCAGCAGGTCAGGCTTCCCTTAGAGAAATTCACAAGAGATAGTAATTCAGCCCTTTAATCCACTGGATGTGAAATGTGATACAGAGATGATAACATCATTGATAATGGAAAACTCAAACAGAACTTTTATTTTTATTTGTAAATTTTAGCCTAGGAGCTTCTTTTTGTTCCCCTGAAAATCACTTCCTCAACCCTTATCTATCTTGAATAGGTATATTCCACTCTTCTACATTCAATATCCTCCTTCCACAGAAAGAGTAAGAAATAACCTATTTGATTTTGCTAATTAAAAAATCTCTCTCTACAAAAAGTGTACAATAAAATAATTACATCACAGAATTAATGTAAGAATGAAAAAGATATACACACACAGTGCTTAAAATAGTGCCTGCCATATAAATCAAGGCTGTTGTATTTTATTAATTGTATGGTGACTTTAAAAATCTCATTATGAGCACATGACTTAAGAAAAAAGTTTTAAAAGAATAAAGTTCGGAGACATCCGTTACTGGATGTGAATCTCAGATTCTTGACTTTAGTACTTTATGTGCATAACCTTGAGCAAATTGGTTCACTCTCTGTACCGGTTGTGTAGTCTTTAAAATCAGAAAATAATACCAACCGACCATGGCTAGGGAGAGGCGCCAATGAGTTATGGTATAAGCAAAGCCAACACAACATTAGGAAGTACTTCATGCTTATTAGATCACGTCTCTGTGAAAAGAGAACAGGTGTATTCCGCTCACACCATGCATTCAGTGTGAATACACAGGTTCTTTGGGACCTACCTGTCAACTTCAGCTCCACTTGGGAGGCTTCGCTGAAGGTGGCATTCACCTTACTGCTTGTTGCATTGAGCCAGTCAACAGTTAGCGTGGCGGGTTGTCTTTTCCCCAAATATTCATAATATCCCTTCCACACGGAATTGACGAAAAAGACATCTGAAGGAACTGTGGGAAGTGGGGAAACAGATGAATGTCAGCACACACACAAACAATAAATTCACACATTACTAAACACAGAAGGCATAATACTCCTAGTGAGAGATCACAGATGAGGGCAATGACAGAGACAAGGGAGCCCAGTGCACCATGGTTCATAGCGTGTGCAAGACTCAAAGAAGCAGGTGTCAAGATTATTATGGTATGCAAACAGACATTTGTGTTTATAGTTTTGTTATTTTATTAGAAGCCAAAGCACATCTATTTTAATAGACCTTCCAAGGTCCTGGAGTATGGTGAATTGGTACTTCAAATGTTAGTTTAGTTTTTATTGTGCTTAGTAAGAAATACGTTTACCTGACCCGTTTACATGAAATCACTACTGATATTTCAATAATATCCAAGTCTACTCTTGGAAAGACTTAGAAGGCTCAGAAGAACTGATATATATCATATGACAGAAATGTGCTGCCCTGAAAAAGGTTGCATATCCCAGCACCAAGCTGACGCATGAAGACAAAGGCCTTTCATTTCTGAGGTCTTTATTTTGTAATTAGAGTCAATCTCTCCCATTCATGCTCTCCTGCTCTTCTTTAATCTCTTTGTGTAAAATATTCCATTAGTAAGAAAAGATGGGTTCAATAATTTCAAATCTTTCTTTTATATATGCCTTTTAAATTCAGTAATAAAAGGCATAAAATCTTTTTAAAGCGTAGAATTCATTGACAGGAAAACTTGCAAAGATTATTGAGATATTTCCTCCTGTTTTCACAGCTTAAGAAAAAATAAACTTATTTTTTCATGTGTTTTTTAAAAAACGTATATAAAATCCTTCCATTTTCACACATTAACGTGAACTGTAATATATAAATCTACACGATGATTCCAACATTTCTCTTTGTTTTTTGCCTTATGATGTGCATGGATTATTTAATTAGATAAGATTCACGATAAGCATAATTGGTTAAAATCCATCACTTGGGTTGCTAGGCAGAAATGAAGATTCATGTCCCCCTAAACTATTTTTTAGAAAGTCCACGTATAGTGGCAAATAATGAGGACAAAAGTGTATTGTGCCTGCACCCATACTTCTCTTTCCTGCCCAAATGGCCATTTTCTTGTTTTCCTAGGCAGGCTAAACCTACAAAACTCGGCCTAGCAAGAGAAGGGTTAAAGAAGAACAGAAGGTAATAGCTTCCTTTGGCCTAGAGTACACCCCACTTCCTCATAATAATAGTGATAATAAGTTAAAAACCGATCTATCCACACAAGTATCTAACACATTTACTTATAAATAACTGATTTTAGATACATAGACTTAGCCGTTGCCAGCACAACTGAGGTCCCCCATTTTAATCAGCAACCTCTAAAATGACTTTATTTTCCATTAATAAAATTAATAGCCTTTAAAGTACTTAAAGATTGTTTTCTCTAATTAGAATTTATATGCTTTTCTGAAGATACTAACACACTTGTTCAACCATTCACTTAAGTTCATCTTGTTGAGGTTTCCCAGGAATGGACCAGGCCTGCTGGCTGGGTAGGGTAAGATACAACCAATGTCTTTGGCTTCTGTGTATTAAAATATGACCACCAGTCATGGGGCAGAGGTCATCTTTCTGGGTCTTTATAATATCACTTGTTGCTGGCAGCCTGCAGTATAATGACAGAACCACATAGCTGAGCTATACTAGAATGTACCACCTTGATGACGAATCACGTTCAGTTAGCACTTCCCTTCCAAGAGCATAAGGAAAGCAATATTGATGAGAATGTTTCTACCTACAAAAGGAGCGTCTAGCTATTTCAGTATCTTAAACAAAAAATAAGCAAAGAAAAAAAAAACATTTGCACAACAACAATAACAAAAAGAGATTGCGTTTTCTTCCGCTGAAGAAATTGTGGCCTAGATAAAGAGCATTGACTTCTGTATGTGATTTGTAGGTAATATTTTAATAAAATAGTCTAGAAAGATTAAAAAAGTATTTTATATTCTTCACTCTGCAGATTGGAGAAATCTCTTTAGTCATATCAGCACATTTTGCCTTGTCTAAGAATTAAATGTGTAACACAGCATTCTGACAATAGCATTACAAATACGCTTTCCATGTTTGATTCTAAAATAGAGCTTATGTCCAAAAATAAAATGTTAAAACCTGAATAAAGAAAGTACTAGCCAAGTGATCTTATATATTTACAAAGGTTTTCTGTTTCTAATAAAACAACAACAACAACAGCAAAATACCCAACTTAATATAATTTGGGACGAATTTTGTTATTTTTAGAATTTAAATTTAAAACACAGATAACAATATGCCAGATGAATTTGTATAGTGAAAACTTTCCACAGGAAATAGAACTCCATCTTTGTGATTTGCTACATAATGCATTTAGCAAGGCTCCACATACAACAAAAAACTATAATTAACATTTTAGAAGGCAAAGGATGCCTGAATGAATGGAGACACTTGGAAAAAAATTGGGCTCCACATTTTGTTCAAATGAACAACTTACACTCTAAAAAAGCCTCATTAATATGAGCTTCCTCATTTGGAGGAAAAAATCGCAACCCTCTTTATAAGGCTCTCCATTATACCACATGGCATGATCAATGCTTTCATTTCTCCCTACCAAATGCCAAAGGCAGGTTTGAGTGAAACCGTGTGCAACACCACCAAAGGTTTTCTTTTTAAGTAAACTCACGTTATTTCATTAACAAATTATTGTTGTGAAATAACCAGAATTCCATGTAGGCTTAGTGTTTTAAATTACTGAAACATTAACTTTGTCATGGACTAATGGATTCAGAAATTTAAAAGTTGAATATTGTTTCACTGTGCAGAGTAGAGAACAAATTACTTTATTTGATCGAAATCTATAACTGTTCTGGTATACAAACCTGGAGTTTTAGTAACTGTTTCATTAACTTCTCTCACTCCTTTACCTACAAGTAAAAAGACAAATTATCATTTTTAAAAAAACATTTATTTTTGAGTAAGTTTGAAAAAATGTCAAATTGAGCAATTTTCCTTTCTCCAGATTTTTATATGAACACCTTATACATATACATTTTGAACCCATGTCTTTACAGCAGAATATTCTTGGTGTTTGTGGGAAAGTGGAGTTTAAGGGTATAAAATCAATATAAATCTATCTACTTATATTTCCATTTAAAGTGTTACAACAGAGAGCCTTGCAAAGGAGGGTGGCTTCTACGACTTCTCTCACATCCTGTTTGGAGTACCCTGCCACATACTAAAAGGTAATACCCCACATGTCCATGACGTTATAGTTCCTCTTGATTGTCCAATACCCCGCCCAAATCAATCAATTTATAAATTACTATTGAAAAATACAAAATCATTTTCACTGCAGAATGTGCATTTTGTTCTATCAAGTTAGATTTAATTCATATTTTCTTAGCTTTCATAGTTTTATATGAAATTACAAGTTATCATTTAAAAAGTTTTCATTCTTCCATTTCTAACAGAGAAGGGCAAGGGAAACAAAAGTCTCTTTAAAATCCCTAATATGAGAACTATAATAGGCCCCCGGAAATAAAACCTAAGGTCGGTGACTTTATCACACTCCATCATTTTTGGTTTATGCTGTTTATACTTCATGGATTTATAAATTACATATGAGGGGAGTGGGGGACCTGTAAGTGTAGCTATCATCAAATCTGACCCAGGCTGATGACTCTCACTTGGAAACACATAAATTTGTAATTAATGAGTCATTTCCAGGTGAATTGCCTTTGTGATTTTAAAAAGTAGAATCACTGTCAGGAACACATAGACTTGTGTTTTACCACAAACAACATGTGATCTTAAAAATAACACAGAATTTCATCTATATATTCCAGGATACTTGGTGATATTTATTCATTTTCATCTCTAAGAACTACTGTTTTTCTGAAAATATAGAGTATTTTTTCATTTTAACTCAGAATGCTTTTCTTTAGCCAAATAACTTTTTTCTTTTGGCTTAAAATAATACAATCATATTATGATGTACTAACTGCATACTAATTATACTATATATCCACTCAGCTCTGCCACTGTTGCATAAACACGTAGGATATGCACATTCACAGACACAGCTCACGCACATGAGGCACGACTGAGGCAGGTGATGATGCTGCAGCCCTCATGCTCTGACTTATGGGTCTCACACATGGAAGCTAGCCTGATGTGCGGGCAATCCTTCCCCTTGCTCCTTAGAAAAGCATGCCACTCCTTGATCAATGACTTACTTTTACACACAGGTGACTTTCCTGTCCATTTCATATCTGCTTTACATGTTCTGTGCTCAGATCCACCTGCGAGGAAAAACCCTGGGTGGCAGGTGTACACTAAGGTATAGCCAAAAGCAGGAAGATCGATGGCTCTCACGTCCGCGTGTGCTGGGGTTTCGGGCTGTCTGCAGGCATGAGCTAAAACGATATCAGGAAACATGGAGACTTTGTTTATTGTAAAGTTAGCACATGTGTCTAAAGAAACAAATAGACCAAAATAGTTTGGAAGCTGTTATGCAGTCACTGTGTATGTGTATGTATACACGTGTATACATATATATGCAATTTTTTGGTAGAGATGATGTCTTGCTATATTGCCTAAGCTGTGCTGTGCTAGAACTCCTGACCTCAAGTTTTTCTCCTGTTTGACCTCCCAAAGTGCTGGGATTACAAGGAATGAGCCACGATACCCATTCTACATATATTTATAGATAGGTAATTATGTGCAAAGATTCAAAGTAGAGATCACAGCTTCAAAACAGAAAACTCTTCTGCTATACTGCTAAAATAAATATGTTAAAGATCCTTAAAATCAAGCCCAGTCTTATAAATTATATAGTCTATTGCATACTTAGATATATGCCTTGATATTTTTCTAGTGAAAACTAGCAAATTTATTATTCAATTTAATTAATAATTAATTTTGGTAAAAATTTGATGTGTATTTAGAAACTTAACTGAAATATTATAGATTCTTATTTGCTTTAAAATATAATTTAGGAATAAATGAGATTGCAATGTATATTCTGCATCTCAAATCACTCTATTCTTTATAAAGTTTGTATATATGCCTGAAGTAAAGGACTGGCGTATTATTATAAAACAAGTTTGCAGTTTTAAACTTGTGCATGCAATTGTTTTAGGTATTGTCACTATTTCACTAATTAGTAACCATAACAAATACCTGATATTATCAAGCCCCATTATACATAGAAACACATGTATATATATATATACATGAGTGTATGCAGATACATATATGTACATATACTATCAACATATAATTTGAGTAGCGATTTAGAGCAGAGATGATAGTTTTAAAATAAACCCAACCAAAAATCACACCTCATATACTATTAAGATATTTTATAACAGTCTGCAAATGTTTTTATGTTTAATATAGTGAGAATAAGACGCAGTATTTCACTTAATTCCGAGGGAGTGAAGTCAATAAGTCACATAATAATCATCCATATATATTTTCTGCTCCTCATGATTAAGTCACACAGTAAACTGTGATCCGTAAGTATGTATTTGAACGATCAATTTCTATATACTTCATGTTATAGTGAGAATAATATTTTAAACAGTTCTACTTCGACTCCGACATACATTATTCAGTTCACCCTCTCTTTAGCAATTCGATGCAAATATCCTAGAAGAATAACAGCACACACACAAGTTTTCTAAGACTGTTAAATACATTATTCACTTATCTTCAGTTTCAAGCAGTTTCTCAGACTTTACTGTGCCTGAGAATCTCCCGGAGCCCTTGTTAAACTAAACCATCCCCCTTTTCTCCTCCCTGGATCCCTCCAGAGTCTCCCATTCAAGGTCAAGGGTGGGGCTTGAGAACTGACTTCACAGCCCAGTGTCCAGGCAATGCTTACGCTGCCGGCTCTAGGGAAGCAAACTTTGAGGACGGTCAAAGCTTAGGATTACGAAATTAAAAATAATTTCTCATTATTTCCCTTAGTGGTAAACACTTCTCAGACATTCACAGTAAATAGGTTACTGCTGATTGTGGTGGAAGAAGTCACACTTACGTATACATTCAGTCTGTATCCCACTCCATGTTAAATTTGCAAGGCAGGTGCGAGTTGTGGAACCTTGAATATGGTAGCCTTTTCTGCACCTGAAAAAAACTGTGCTTCCAACCTAGAGAGGAAATCCAATACCAGCTTCAGAGGCCAAGGGAACATGCACAATGTCAAACAGTGATACTTGAAAGCACAATTTGGGGGTAAAAGGAGAGCAGCAATTTTTGACTTTAATGTCAAATTATTGTCTAAATCAACATGTACATTTTAACTGCATGTTAAAGTCTTATACACAATGTAGATTGCTCAACGAATAATGTAAGATCTCTGCAAACTGAAAATTTAGTAGGCTGTTTGGGTAAAGAAGTTATGCCTTAATTTTAGAGTTCTCTCTTTTTTGTTTGTAATAATTATTATTTCCCTTTTCATTTTATTCTTGCCACTCACATTTTAAACAATTGATATTTATTATTTTGTTAACACTCCTAGGGGATTGGCCAATTCCTGCTCACACAGAGTCCACCAAAACTCTACCTGTCTTTCTACTGTTTCAAACTGTACAAACTAGTTAGTGTTATCTGAATGTCTGAGGCATCTTCCTCACCAGGGCTTTACAAAGCTAACCCCTCACTTAATTCTCTGTACTTTGCTTAAATTTCACATCCTCTGCAGACGCTTCTCTGATCCTCCAAAAACACATCACATGCTGTTCAAATGCATTTCCCCAATATCAGATGTTATCTGCACCACTCACTACAATGTCCTGGAATTGCCTGCATATTTATTTACCTAAGTATATTCCTAACTTCACCAGAAGGGCCTTGAGGAGCATCTTCCTGTGATCTGTAAATATCTTTTTTAGAGAATGAGCTATGGTCGTGCTCTGAAGGGCACTGAAGATTGTCCACGGTTCTGTGTATCTGCAGCATGAGGCCAGCATGTCCCACATACAAAGGGAGAGAAAAGCAACCCCCAGGGAAGGCAGGTTTGCTATCAGGACAGCTCAGCTTGGGACCAAACCATTTCCTTAAAGCTTGACTTATGAAGGCACGTAAGCGTACCAGGTTAGAGTCTGAAGAGTTCAGTATCCCTCTTGTTTCTTGCTCTCAGAATTTTAAACAGTTATTTAATTCCCTGTGTCTGCCTTCTCGCAGGAGTAAGCCCGTACCTCCCTTGTCGGGATTCTGGGAAGAATAACTCTAAGTAAAACACAAAGAAATAGCTGGTACACTGAATAGTGAGAAAGGATTTCAGGAGAAAAAAATGCTGCTTCTAGCACCTGATAAAATGGAAGTAGGAATTTATTAAAAAAGTGCAAATTTATCTAAATTTTAAATCAATAGCTAATCTAAATTCAGTGATGGGAAAGGGTTGACACATTTACTCTTGATTGATTGATGGATTTAAACTTTAGAGTCAGGGCCTCTGTCTGTTGCCCAGGGTACAGTGCACAGTGGTGCAATCATAGCTCATTTCAGCCTGGACCTCCAGGGCTCAAGTGGTGCTCCCATCTCAGCCTTCTGAGTAGCTGTGACTACAGGTGCAGTTTACCACACCCAGCTGATTTTTTGTATTCTTTGTAGAGATAGGGTCTTGCTATGTAGCCTAGGCTGGTCTCAAACTTTTGGCTTCAGGTGATTCTCCTGCCTGGGCCTCCCAAAGTGCTGGGATTCCAGGCTCAAGATGCTGCTCCCAGTCCATTTCCTCTCTATCAGGAATGTTGTCCATCAACTCGCCATGCAAGCATGACAGCAATTCCAATCAGAGGTCCTGGTCAACACACTGACATTGTCAGGAAGATCATGGACAGCCTATATCATTTACTGGCAGAAAGAAAATACAGTCTCCTTCTCAGTTAAATTTCTTTTAGTGGAATATATCAAGCCACGCTAACTTGATGACCATACACTAACCCTGGAGCTGTGGGTTTAGGGGACATGCCAGGCTGGAGAATGGGAGCTAGTCATTTAAGCTGCGTGATGAACATAGCATAACACAGGGACATCAATGGCTCACTCTGTGCAAGTAGTGTTTCAGCATATGGTGCTGAAGAAAACGGACAACAATCTCATCGATTACATTAAAAACTAGAATGCGGCCGGGCACGGTGGCTCAAGCCTGTAATCCCAGCACTTTGGGAGGCCGAGACGGGTGGATCACGAGGTCGAGAGATCGAGACCATCCTGGTCAACATGGTGAAACCCCGTCTCTACTAAAAATACAAAAAATTAGCTGGGCACGGTGGTGTGTGCCTGTAATCCCAGCTACTCGGGAGGCTGAGGCAGGAGAATTGCCTGAACTCAGGAGGCGGAGGTTGCGGTGAGCCGAGATCGCGCCATTGCACTCCAGCCTGGGTAACAAGAGCAAAACTCCGTCTCAAAAAAAAAAAAAAAAAACTAGAATGCTCCGAATAAAGGAAGAAAAGAAAACATTTGGGGAGAGCTGCATCTCACGGCCTCAACCGTCTCTTTAAAAGATAGTGTCTGGGCTCTTTATTAGTGAATCTTACTGCTGGGTGAAATCTATGATTCATCTCAGCGTAGCTAATTTGTTACAAGGAGGGTGAAGGATTTATCCAACCCCATTAATTTCATATTATAGGTTACAGAACTATGTCGCTAAATATGGTCATCACCAACTTGTAATTACCATAAGTTGGACATAGGCAAGTTAAGAATTGCTCAAAGCAACGGTGATCAAAATTTTATTTTTCATAGTGAATCAGTGAAAGCGACACCCACATATACTATTTTCCACCATTTCTTGACAATTTGGCATTAAATATTTAAATACCTGAAGTATTTACTTGAAGTTTAAGGCAATATTTGAGACATAATAGAAAACGTGCTAGAGTTAGCATATTGGCTCCCGGTAAAGATTTCCTCTGTGGGATGCAAGAGAGCTACAAGGAGATGGCCACTGTGCGTCAGAACCAGTAAGATGGGACTGTTTTCATGCTCATGAGAGATGGGGAAAGTGGCTGAGGAAGATTTTTTATTCTTGATTGATGAGATCCCTGACTCGAAGATAGAATATATATTTAACTGTTGTTTTCAAAGGCATACAACCAGAGAGCAGTGAAGTTATGGGAGTATTTAAGATGGTTAAGATATTTTATTTCAAGCTTCATTACCTTCTGCTTTTAGGTATTTCTCCAATATTCACTGAAGTGTTAACGTTCATTTTATTAAAAGTCAAACGAACATGCTGAAGTATTATTTAGTATGCTAATAATTCATAGAACTTTAAAGATCACATGGAGAACTAATTTCACACGTAAGCTTAGACTAAGGGGCTTATATACATTTTCTCCTGTTTTTTTTTTCTTTAGAATTTGATATTATTTGGACACTATATCCAGTCCCTAAATGGGACCTTTTATGGGTAGCTAATCAGTCACAAGTTACCCCAATTTGAGAATTGCCATGTGAGTTTAGCAGACAAAGAAGAAAATGATGCACGATTCTAAATAGAAATTAACATAGCAACTGTTACATTAATTTCTATTTGGAATCATGCATCATTCCATTATTATCTAGTAAGCAAGATATATATATATATATATATGCTTGTTTTTATAGTTAAAAACACATGTAGAAATCCACTTTGAATCAATTTTATTCAGATAAATATAACATGAATAAGGTCTGATATGTAAAAGCATTTATATATGCTTAAGTATCAAATCTATTTCATATCTCCAGAAAGAAAACATAGAACGGTGACCTACCTCATAGCCTCTGGAGCTGTTCTGTATTCCGAAGTGTGGTGTGCCAGGGTCTGGGCAGGTGTTATGGGCAGGCCCTGAAATTTGTGATTTAAAAAGAAAACAGGGCACCAGATATGGTTATTATGGGAACTCTAACAGTTTTTACTGAAAGGTCTCATGAAATAGAGAAAGTTTTGCTTTGAGAAATGTGCAAAATGTGCTACTTTTATCTTCCCTTCAGTACGTCTTCTTTAGATGTTAGTTTTTGGACTTTAAGTAGCACGGTATGTTCCTTTTAGATAAGAACAAGTACATTCTTCCCATTGTCTGGCTTTTTTCTACAGAAACATATTTGTTTGGTCAACGATATGCTAGCCTCAATAATGATCTATCACTGTCTTTTGGTTTATTAGGATTTAATTAATGGCCATCTCATTTGGTTACCCATTACATTATTCTGAATTTCTTTAATTAATTTTCCTCAAGATCTCGAAATGAAATATATACTTAATGCTTTAAAATTGAAGCATATGAAAAACCAAGAGTGACATTTTCAAAAAATGTAGGACGGGGGCAACCCAATGGCACTTTGGCTCTTTTATCTGAGGCTCTACGGTTGCCAGTAGAAAAACAAAATAGATAACTTCTTAAAACCTGTTATCTAGGGCAACTAACCTAGTAGGGGAAAGAAAAATATTTTTAGTGTAGAGACAGCTGCTATATAGCAATAGTTTAAATCAAATGACAGCAAATATTGCTATAATCAGAAAAAATGCTTCAATGACAATATTTCATTAATACTATATTTTTTTAGGTAGATACCATTCAATTTTTAAGAAAATAATCAAGACTAATTACTGCTTTTTTACTAAAAGTTTTTAGAACGGCCTATTCTGCTTAGTCAATCTCAATGAAAAAAATTAACTCAACAATGAAACTCAACTCTGCAGCAATAAAAAGCAGCAAGGCTGCCTCTCTGATGAGGGCTGCTCTAGAGTGTTCCTAACTGCACCTTTTCCCTAAACAAGGAAGTTGGCTGTTGAGGCAGACAGGAGGAGGGACAGCCGCCAGGTCAGAGAACAAAGTCTAGCAGCTACTTCAGCAGACTTCTGACTGGAACACCAAGCTTAGTTTGCATGATTTAAAGGAGGCCGCCCATCCGTTTAGCTGATTAGTGCTCAGTCTTCTTTAGTGCAAAGACTATTACCTTGCACAGAAAACCGTCTGTGGGAACACCATCTATGCAATCACAAATGACCCAGTTTTGGAATGAAACGTCCTCATGCCCGAGTGCCCCCAAATAGCACCAGGGCTGTATTATAGTTATTACCAATGCAGGTGGGTTGTATGCCGCTCCACGTGCCGTCAGCTTGGCAGATTCTTCTTGAAGATCCCACCAGTATAAATGGAGATTTGCACTGGAAGAAGACTTCAGACTTAAAGGTGAAACTTTTCCCACTAAGTCGTCCTTCTGCGGGGGTGCCAGGGTCTCCGCAGAACACAGCTATGGAAAACAACGAGGAAGAAGTCAGCCTTCAATGTTCCTGGGTCAGCTTCACCAATTGAGCTTGGTAACTAGTTTCAGTTAAATCTGTAGCATTAACTATTAAACAAGGAAAAGACTAAAAGGAGGCTGGGCATGGTGGCTCACGCCTGTAATCTCATTTTGGGAGGTGGAGGCAGGTGGATCACTTGAGTTTGGGAGTTTGAGACCAGCCCGGGCAATATGGTAAAACCCCATGTCTACAAAAAGTACAAAAAAATTGGCTGGGCATAGTGGCATACCCCTGTAGTCCCAGGTATTTGGGAGGCTGAGCTGGGAGGATGGCTTGAGCCTAAGACAATGAGGCTGCAGTGAGCTATGACTGAACCACTGCACACCATCCTGAGCAACAGACCGAGGATCTGTCTCAAAAAAGAGAATCTGCTCTTGGGCACTACGGTCTCAGGTTTGAGTTTTTGCATATTGTAGGGTTATTACTCCCCACCAGGAAGGTCCTCAAGATGTAACCTAAGGTGTGCCCTGATGATTTGGCTCTGCTGCAGCCCTGTGATGAGTGGAACGAGTTCTGCTGTGGAACTTACGCAGGCACTGGGGGACCTCTCCCTTCCACACCCCGCGACCTTCGCAGGAGAGGATGGCAGAGTGAGAGAGCTGGTAGCCGCTCACGCAGCTGTAACTTATGCTGGAGCCCCAGTGGAAATCCGTTCCCTCCACTGTTCCATTCTGCACGGGCGGCGGCTGAGGACACAACACGGCTGTTTGCAAAGAACAAACAAGATCAACATTCTGGAGCTGCCACTGCAGCTGTGATGTTCACACGATTCACATTTTAATTTTATCTGAATTACAGGTGATATCTACATAGGTTTTTAAAAAAATACAATAAAATAAAGGAATTTCCAAGGAAGATAGTACATCACAATAATACAACTTTTTAGAGTATTTCTTCATTAATATAGATCAAGTATATAAAAGCAAAGTCAGGTCAAAACGTGTAACGCTGTAAAATAAAACAGGACTGAACATGACATCCTCAACACACCCAGAGCCCAGCAAGGAAGAAACATTCCTGTTTCATTTGTGCCTTTTTATGATGGCTACCAAGGACACTTCAGATGAGGAGTTGGTCAGATGACACAAATTTATAGGCACAGATGGTAAGAATTTTCCTGGCCATCTGTATTTCTTATTTAAAGATGGTACACAGTTTCCAAAAGACACAGTCTGTCCATCTATTTGCTGAATGCTTTTTTTGGAAATGCTTGTGTGATTGAAGCAGATCCTGTGAAATACCACTTGCAAGTGTTTCATCACAGCCTGGGAGCCTGATGTCTCCTCTATGGGACTGAGAACAGGAACCTGGTTTCTAGGGAGGATTTCCCCGTGGGTGACATCCCCACGGTTCTGCCTTCACTCTGGAAATCATACCAAAAATGCCTGCTGCGGGGGAAAAAATTCAAAACCCTTTGTCTAAAATCCTTCTTCTCTGGAGGTACAAAAGCGTCCCTAATTTTTGAAATTAATGGAAGTTTCCAAGTGACCCTGGAGGTAAGAGGTGGCATTACAAGAGAATAATTGCCTGCCTGCCTGCATTTGGCATGTTCAGGCTCATGCCTTCTCATGTGAGAAAGACGGGCCAACACACTGAAATCACACATGCAACCCTGCATTTGGCATGTTCAGGCTCATGCCTTCTCATGTGAGAAAGACGGGCCAACACACTGAAATCACACATGCAACCCTGCATTTGGCGTGTTCAGGCTCATGCCTTCTCATGTGAGAAAGACGGGCCAACACACTGAAATCACACATGCAACCCTGCATTTGGCGTGTTCAGGCTCATGCCTTCTCATGTGAGAAAGACGGGCCAACACACTCAAATCACACATGCAACCCTGCATTTGGCATGTTCAGGCTCATGCCTTCTCATGTGAGAAAGACGGGCCAACACACTCAAATCACACATGCAACCCTGCATTTGGCATGTTCAGGCTCATGCCTTCTCATGTGAGAAAGACGGGCCAACACACTCAAATCACACATGCAACTCAGATGCTGGAAAGGGTCCTTCTCTCACCACTCTACCTTCTACTGATCCGTTCACTTGTTCAGAAAATCCTTCCTGAACCCCCACAGCGAGGGCTGGGGAAATGCATACTCTGGCCCAAGGGAATGTCCAGGGGGAGGCCCCAGTTGGAAGAGATCTGAACTACATGGGTCCCTGGGGGGTGGGGGGAAGGCGGAAATAGGAGGAGACACGTTCAAGGAGGGACAGAGAGAGAAAGAGGTCCCAGCTGGTAGGGCCTTGCTGGTCATGGTGTTGTTATAAACACACTGGGTACTAGAAAGAGGATACAAATTCACACAACCATGACGAAGTCTATTTCATTAGCAATTTGCATCATGCCCATTTGACCTGAACACTGACAACACAACTTAGTGCATTTCCTCAAAGGTTTACCTAGTGTCTGTTATATAACAGATGTAGTACTGAGTTACGATAGAAAGAAGGGAAGGCAAAGAGGTCCTTCGACTATACTGGGAGAAGAAAGCAGGTTGGTCCAAGGACATACATCAGAGGAGAGGGAAAGCAGTGTTTTTGAAGCATCCAGGTCACATGTAAGCTTCACATCATGCTGTCTACACAAAACCATCTGTCTGGCAGACCCCACTGGAGACAACACCTTCTCCATTAAGCTCTCAGTGTCCTAGCTCTCCCTCTCTCAGTATTTTATTTGTTCCTAGTCTAATAAAGAGGAGAATGCCACCTTCTTGTGTTTGGCCGCTGGCAACTTTGGAGCCCTGCTCTTCCCCTCTTCTTCTTGTCCTTCTTCTGCAACAGCTGATAAAAAAGCCTGATAGTTCTTCTTTGCTTCTGGTAAATAAACCATCACCATGCAAATCCCTGGCCCTTGTACAGCTTGCCCTCAGCCCTACTTCCTGGTCACTAAAAGAGCCCAGTTCACTCACTCTGCTTTGCTGAGGCCGCCTTGATGGGCTTGAGCCTACCTTGATTTGCCCAGAGGGTCCAGTTCCATGAGTCAGAAACCTCTTTCTGCCTAGTCGGTGAGTGTCATCTTTAGTCTCGGCAACCAAAGCCCACGAAACTTCACGGTGCTAACACTCTCTACCAGTCTCTGCCATTACTGGGTGATTAGCTTGTCTCTCCAACCTGCCTCTAAATTCCCACAATTACATTCACCATTATATCTGCCATGAAACCGAACACAGCCAGGGTCACAGGTTTACCCAGGACAGCAAAGCCTTGGGGTTCAGACAGACTCCAGGGGTGGCGTGACTATCACGTAAACCTGACATCTCCGGTTTCTGGTTTGTGATCCTAAGCCTGTTCCTCTACTTCTCTGTGAGTTAGTTTTTCCATCTGTAAAACTGAGATGGAAGCATTCTAAAAAGAAAGTGATTTAATAGTTTCAAATTGGTTTTCAAGAATTCCTAGCCCCTAGAAGGGCTACATAAATGCTTGCAAAATTAAACAAAGCATCAGTCACTGAAGATTTCTACACATATCTGTAAAACCCAAAGAGTTGTGACACAAACCTTTGCAGACGGGTTTGCTCTGATTCCACGTGCCGTCTTTGGTACAGCGAATAGTGGCTGATGTGACCGGTTCCATGAGGTAGCCAGGGCTGCACTGGTAGCTCACAGTCCTGTTGAAGGTGAAGTCGGTCCCAAACTGGATGCCGTTTGCCAGTGTGCCTGGATCCCCACAACTTATAACTGACAAACAGGTAACAGGAAAGAATCAGAGAAATTCATTTGTCATGAAATGAATTAGTCATCGTTTCTTTTCAAGATACTCTCTTTGAGCAGTTATTCAGCATGGTTGAACAGTGATAAAGCGATACTACCCTCTGACATTTCACTGACTCGCTGTCAGGAAGGACACCTGTATTTTAAGAATCACCTGTTGGCAGCTGGCTGTTCAGATGCGGGCTGCCACCCCCTGACTAGCCACTAATTAGGCCTGGTGAGTAATCAGAAGCACAACACGAAGCCCGCAGCCAGAGAACAAAAGACAGTTCTTCTTTCTCCACAGAATCAATGGTCTATGGACAGAGAACGTCTTGACATTTTTTTGGCTTCAATTTGACAATGTCCAACCGAATTGGCCTTTTAAAGTAGCTTCAGCCATACAAATAAGAAAGTGGAGAAAAATCTTAAAGTAGCTAAGAAGTAGAGTCACAGTATCACACACATAGTTTTCCCTTTTTTCTCTGTGAGTTATGAAAAAACCAGTATAATTCCTTAAAGTCAGTTTTTTTTTCCCCAATGGAGTGAACTTCATATTCATAGTAATGTCTGATTCTACCCTGGTGTCCAGTTACTAACTTGTGCAGTCGGGAGCAGTGCCTGTCCAGGTCCCATTGGCTGTGCAATGCCGCGTCATTAGTCCTGAGGTCCTGTAGCCTTCCCAGCAGGCATAGATGACCGAGCTGGAGAACAGAATGCCATCGCTGCTGACAATCATTCCGTTGGTGGGAGTGCCAGGGTTGCCACAGGACACAGCTGTCAAGCAGACAAGAACAAAACACACACAGTGAGTGACCCGGGATGAAAATGGCAAACCCAGGAGAGCAGTGGTTATCACTGCAATAGACCCTGCATTTATTACAAAAACAAAGCGCATAATCCTACGGGAGTTCCTTAATATATGCCTCATTATGACTCACGCGTTATTTTACTGATTAGCCATAAATATAAAAATAACCTTTCAATGTATCTTTTCTAAAGTGAATTACTTCCAAACAAATTAAAACATGAGATAAGCATCCACGGTACAAGACCTTGCTGTTTGGGGATGGGATGTTTTCAACAGCCTTGCTATTTGAGGATTGAATGCTTTTAATACCATGACAGAACTGTTATGATTTTTTTCAAAAGAATATCTACGATATTAGCAATAGGGAAGCATGTTCCTTGAGGTAATCACTGTGTTCTTAAAAATCTAGGCAGTTCAGGTCACATTTTACATCTCTAGGAGAATTCACTTTGGAAAATAAAGCAAGCCTCAGAAACATGAATGTCTGCACTTGAACTGCTCTGTAAACTGGTGTCCTCAATCTAACGGCAGCTGTGTTAATTGACTTTGACATGACTGAACTTTGTATTTCTCTCAAAAGGCTCTTAATGCCATGTAGAGGCAGTAAGACCTCAATTAACGATGGCGAGTGCAACAGGTCTGCTCTCTGTGTCTATTTTTTATGCTCTTTAGTCAGTAAACAAAGTTTGGCTGCTGCTGGGTACGATTCAGGATGAACATTTCAATCTACGATTCTTATTTTTATTTTTTTGCCTTTTTTAGTTCAGTCTGTTTACCAGAAAGATTGCTGTATTTTCTCCTTGGCACTGTCGCAATAGTATACAATAGGCAGGTACATAAAGGATGTGGCCCTTGGCTGGTTTCAATAAGAAGAATATCTATCATGAGACTGCCTCCGAGAATGATCCAAATATTTAAAAATACTTTTTGCACATTTGATTGATCCAATTTCAAATCTGGCCTGGAGAACAAAGGTACATTCTTCTGCAAAACATTGAAGAAAACATCCTGCAAAATTTGCACAGCATATAAAAGTCACTGTACTGGGAGTGGAGGGGACTGCCTTCCTTGTTACATAGAAAAAATGCACTTGTGCTCAGGTTGAGCTGGATCTTGTTTGAAAATGTACTGTGGGGTGCGCACGCTAGTGCTTCCTGCCCACGTGATGGCAGATGTGAGTACTCGGTCACAGTCCTCTTTGATGGCTCAGGTTTAACTTCCGACCCTTTCTAACACACACCTATTAGCAGTTTCCTGGTTGGCATATGAGTTGGGATATATTCACCAATCCAGAAGCAGATAGTATTTAAGGTTCTCTAAAACTTGAAAGTTTTGCGATGACTATGATATATATTAAAATTTCATATTGCAATAATTAAGGGTTGGACTATCCAAGACAACTATTCATTCAACAAACATTTATTCATCACGTACTGTGCAACAGGTACTGTGTTGAGGTACTAACGGAAAGCCTGTTACACAAAGGAATTGCCTTTGGTGCAGTTCACAGTTTAACAAACCAAAAGAAGACCGTGTCGTCAATATTACCAGATCTGATGTTATTGTCATCTTGTGTTCTAATTATATCTGCTATTCAATTGTATGTGTAAATCTTCAAAAGCCACCTATGTAGAACTAATGCTCAAATGAATCAAATAATTGATGAAAAATATTCAATTCAGTTTGTAAGCAAACTAAAATGGTAGTTAGCTAATATTGTCCATGAATGAGTACCATCATAATGCTGTCCTATTATTGAGAAAGTCCCCTCAAATATTGTACGGTGTAAAGTACAATTCATGACTAGTCTTCTCTTTTTCTGGCTGACAAAAACCACTTTTACTCATGGTTATAACCACGAAAATGACTAGAAGGCAATGTCAACATCTCTGCTTTTATTTTAATGCAGTGATGTAAAATTATAAGAGAGGACTGATACTAAAGCAAAACAACAGATTAAATTTAGAGGAGAAAAAAGAAAAATAAATTAGAAGAGGAAAAATAAATTAACTTGTAAGTTTAAACTTTGCCATATTTTCTGTTTCCTGAGTTTATTTTCTTTTGAAATACGCTTTTTAAAAAAGTACATTTGGTTAATGTGACTTCTTCAGCTGAAACATATTTTTCTTTAACTCAGTTTACAATAACATTATACTTATTTTAAATATACTTTATTGTTTACAAATATTAGTGCTGTTCATTTTACATGCTACCTAAGAAACATTGCTGTTAAATTGAGTTAAATAGATGTGACTATTTGCTCATGCGAGCTACATAAACCTGAGCAATCAATTTAGATTCCTTAGACGTAGTGCCTTTAACTGTAAAATGAGTATTATATAAATACTTACTCCCACCTGTAACAAAACTACCCATGCTCTACGTAAAATGTCTAGTAGATGTGACGTGTTTGTTAGTGTTAGCAATGAGGTGGCTTGTAGCTTATGCTATTGTTATTTTCACCATCATCACTTTCTTACTTCTTGAGTAAAATGTAGCCTTATTATAATTTCATTGGAAAGAGAAATGAGTTCCCTAATGCAACTGAAACCAAATGTTTTAGTTATGTGATGCAACTTCATGAGATAGATCCATTTGAAACGGTAAGTTTGAGCCTATGATTAAAAGGCTAGATTGCTAACAAAAGCAACTATGATTTAATTCTTTGAGTTGAGAGATTTTACATGACTTTTCATTTTGAATTATAATTTCCTCCTCCTTTTGACAATGTATTCAATTTACCATCAGAATCTAATTTTTTGACGGAAGATTTAGAGGAGATAATCTCATTGGCTTTGAAATAATGTTAACTAGGGGACTGGTCAAGTCATAGCTGGTCATAGAAACTACACTTCCTGGAAACGCAACCACTGGAAACATCCTTTTTCATTGACAGTAACTCACACTTCAGTGATTTGTACCTATGATAACAAATGAGAAACACAATAAAAACCTACAGATTCTCCAAAAAGTATTTCAGATTTTTGCTGGGGACTGTGTGTGTGTGTTCACTCATTGATTTTATGATTTTTAAATGTAATTTGCTGTTTTATTGGTGTAGCATCTGTTGCAATTGGTTTCATCAGCTTCCCATGATGTCTGTATCACATAATGCGGTTTTGGAAGTAGTCAATTTTGAGGGTCATGGCATGTTTGAGAAATATTTTCAGCATTGCAACATTTTTGTAACTTTTTTCATCTGTATATGCATCTTTTAAGGTCTAAGTTCTTAATTTTTTTCATGGAAAACTTTACATTTCAAACTATAGAAAACCAAAATGCTATTTAAAAAAATACTTTGCATAGTCTGATTTAGGTACATTGGGAAGTGAAATGCAGTTAAGTTCTCCTATTCAAATAAATCAATTTATGTGTACTTCAATGAAATAGGACTCATAGTGCGCCTTCATAGCCCAAAGAGTGAGATTTCCAAGGAAAGACATTGTTCACTCTCAACTGCTACAATTTGGTTCATCTTTTAAGTTTTCAAAACTGAAATCCTGGAGGTAAACATGATACAAAATGTGAGTCTCAGTGAATGGCTCTCTTTGATAGAATATTTTGTATTCAGCTTTCTGGGAGTGTCAGAGTCTCTGCTCAACAGACACCAAGTTCAGGCTGCAAAGCAGGGTTTAGGCTCAATTATTGCATTTGGTGTTCTTGAAAACAGAAGTATTGTCCTGGTTTTTATCAGCATCAGAATCTATCTATAAACTCTGAATTATTATGCCAGAACTTATGTATGGACATGAAGGCCTCTTTGTAACTATCTTAAATTTTAAATAAAAAACTTCTGATGATTGATCTCTAAGCCTCCCTGTTTTTAAACAATGGAGAATTAAGACCCAGAACCAAGACTTTGTGAACTCCACCTAGAATCAGGTCTAGAGTCCAAATGTCTCGAGTCAGGAACCATGCTGCTTTTCAAAAGTCCTGAATGACAAATGCTACAGATACATTAAGCTATTGTTAAATGTGACTTATGAGAAATGTTGAAATTTTAATATGGAAATGGTTTTAATTTATTGGAAACATCTTTTGTAACACCACATTTATAAATACAGGATTACACAAATTTCGCAATAGTAATATAAGCAACCCTTACACACCCTTTAGTGAGATTCACTACTTACATTTTGCTCACATTTTTTTCTCTCTTTCTCTCTAAATATGTATATTCTGAAGTATTTGAGTGTAAGTTTCAGACAGGAGGACTCTTTACTGTTAAATATTTCAGTATGTGTTTCCTATAAACAGACATTTTCTTATATAACCACAATAAAATTATTAAAAGCATGAAATTTAACTCTGATGTAATGTTGTCTCATACACACCCATGATCTAATTTACTTTAAGCTCTTGAACACATTTTTAATACCTGCCTTAGTGTCCTGTGTTAGTTCACCACCCAGATCATCTCAGGGTCAGATTGTACTATCTCACTAATGCCCTTCATCACTCTCTTTTGTTCATTGCAGGACCTAATCCAAGACCACACACTGCACGTATCAGGTCTCTTAAATCTGAAAGAATCGCTCAGACTGTGTCTTTTCTGAACTTGACATTTCTTCATAAGCACAGACAAGCTGATTTGTTGCATGCCCCTAGGGTTTCAGGGGTTTTTATTGCTGCTGCTTCAGCATCAGATTCAGGTTATGCATTTCAGTGGCAATATCACAGAAATGACAATGTCCCTTTTCCGGTGCTTCATATCAGGAAGCATAGAGTATCTCCTTGTTAAAATATTGGTGATACTGGCTTATCCCACATGAAAGCTTACCTAAGGTACTATATGATAGAGTAGAAAACACTTTGGTTTTGGTGAGAAAACACTGCTCTCATGCAAATTTTAATACAGTAATCTCTACAAGATGAGAGGGAACTAAACAATTTGCATTCGATTAAAAACTTTCTATCAGTTCGTAGTGTCATACTTCAGTAAATAACAAAAGTATGACCCTGCAATTCATGGCCACAGGGAACCACTTCTCACTAGGAAGCAGTGATATTTGACCTAAGACAACATGTTTCGGGCTTGGTCTTAAGATTTACACTACTTTGATTGTCAAGAGGCAATTCAGAGTAAAAAATTATCTTGAATTACTGTGTTTCTGTGACATATGTGTATGCCTATATTAGATGCACATATATAGTCGAAAATAGTCTTTGAGAATAAATACAATATGAATGTGCAAATATAACATATAAATATTCAAATATATACACACATGCCCACATGTGCATATACGGTATTATTTTATATGTGAAATTAATGTAACATGGGTTATATAATATCGACAGATCATATGCATATATTATTTCTATTTATCTATATAGAATGTATAATACAGTAAAGTACAATGAAGATTAAGGAAATTTGACTCAAATTTCTCGTAATGATAGTGTGTATGTGAGCTTATTCAAGTTGGTCAAATTATATGGAAATTGTTTCATACGTACGAAAATACATATTGAATTAATTAGCATAACCTTTCTAGACTCAAAATTCTATTGAGAGATTTGCTTGTAAAGAATTCCTAACATTTACAGTTCTATCTGTCTGAGTTCTAAATAAGGTTCTGAAAATGGAGTACATGGTCACCACCACCTCTCGGTTCACCTTTCCTGGAGGCTACATTTCTGATACACAGTGCCGTGCCTGTGGCCATTCTCACTGTCATTACTGGAGCACTCCACCACTTCCTGCTATGCCTCTCAAACATTAGAATCAAATAGACTCACTCCAAAATATTTCACAGAATAGAACTCCAGATTCCTGTGAAATATGGTGCTCCAAACATGGGCCACCAATGGATTGAAAATGACATGTGAGTGAAGCCTGCTTCCAGCTGCAGAAATTCCCATCAGCGATCTGCATTGATCCTACTCATCACTGGGGAACCCCACTCACTCACTGCCAGGATCTAGAAAATGCCGGCAACAGCACATATAGATTATCACTGGGAGAAGATGAGAAGCTTTTGTGTCATGAACTTCCAAACAATAAGGATCTGTGTGATGGGACCTGTGGACACTAGGAATCCCTCTATGCACTCAGTCATGATTTTTGATGATGCTTTTACAAATTTTTTGGGGAAAAGATTTTATTGTACAAATAGTATAAATCTCTAGAATTTCTGTAGAATTTTTCCAGGCATTTTAGTACAAGTTGTGTGGTTTTAACTTTCAAGGTGGACCTCAAGGCTTGTGGTTACTCACCCTCACACACCGGCTGCAGCCCTGACCATGACCCGTTGAGCAAGCACGTGCGCTCAGGGGAGCCCCTCAGCTGGTGCCCCATTTCACAGGAGAAGCGGAGAAGACTCTTTGTCTTAAATTCATCCCCAAGTCGAGACCCATGTGCTGGGGTCCCTGGATCACCACAGAATCCAGGATTATTTCCTATTGAAAATAAACACATATGGCCATCCACAATTGTGTTAGACGTGTTTTAAGCAGAGTTGTTACATTTAAAGATAATGAAAAGTGGTTGAACTTTGTGTTTAACATGAGTTACGGTGACACAACATTCTGGCAATCATGTTAGAAATAATTTCTCTGTGACAGCCCCAGAATGAGAGAATTTGGGCTGTTGCTCCTGTGTTACTAAATTCACAATAGCCTATTCAAGTGTGGCTGTGAGAATAAACAGCATTTCCTTCGGAAGGAGGAAGATGCTGGGAATGGCAAATGTATCAAGTGTTCACTGAAAAAGCAGGTAGAGATAGCAAAAGGAAAATGGGGCTTTAGGTCAATTGGGAATGTAAAAAAAAGAAAAAGTGAAACGAGAGGTTTGATTCCTCATGACTGTCTTCCAGAGCTGCCGGTTCATTGAATTCAAATTGTTTAAGAAACATTCTTGAGAAAAATATGTTTTTTTCGAACAGGACCAATGTGGTTAATGATGACAGCGGTGGGGAAAATTAAACGCATAAGAATAAAGAGCAAGCAGGGACACCTGGAGCCATGGCAGGCAAGAGCCTCCTCACAAATGCGATGCGGACACTCCCGGAACCCCTGGAGGAGAATGTGTAAAGTGATGGGTCTAAGGATAACGGCGAAGATGAAGACAGTATCTATAGCAGTGGCGTGTTTGGCTAGAAATGGAACAATAATTTCAAATGGGTGTGTAATTATAGGGCATTTCAAGTAAGTATAAGTCATCATTATTTGAAGTCATTGTCTGAGAGGTTATTTGACATTTGCAATTGTGTGACTCCCCCGTGGGCCCCTCACCTGTGCAGTGGGGCAGCGATCCGCTCCAGCGACTGTCTTCCTGGCACACCCTAGTGCTGTTGCCTATAAGACTCTGGCTCCCTCGGCATGAGTAGTGCACCACGGCGCCGTATGTGAACGACTCCCCAGCAACGACAGCATTGGCAGGCACCCCTGGGTGTCCACATGATATAGCTTAAGAAAAGAAGAGAAAATAAGACAAATGAGGACATCCTTCCAGTGAAACCACTTTGTATTGGTAAATCTCCCATACAGACACCCATACCAACCTCGTTCATTAAAGAAAAACACCTAAATATTGTCATATAGCCCCACAGTTCCCTTATGTAATTTGTGAGAAATATGCCAATTTTCAGATGACGTGTCCTCCTCAAATTTATTTAAGGAGAGGTTCTGCTGATGAAGTTTTGTTTTGTTTTGTTGAATAGCTTTGCTTACAGTGGAAATTTACATTTGCTTACAGTGAAAATTTTCAAGGAGATAGCCATACTGACTACATTTTTCTATCGACCCTTAACTATATTTCAAATGAACAGTATTATAGGAAATCTGAGAAAGTAACGTGGATCCATTAAAACTATTTCCTCTATTTTTTCAGTTAATATTACATTCATATGCTTTGCTTTGGGACATGATTCTGTCAAATATGCTTCAACTTCAAGTTCACATGTGTAAGAAAATCATTTTAACAATTTCTCTTTGAATAAGTGGCAGTCTAATATGTATAATTAAATGATACTCAAATATTCATTAATTTATTCCTCTAATTGTTCTACAAAGTAATCTCAGTATTTCCATTCATTTCCTTGAAATTATACCAGATCAGGCCCCAAATCTATTTATAAATATCCTTCAAAAAGACAAATTCTGCAAATTAATATAGGACAGTGAAGGTTTATTTCTTTTTTTCTGTACAGTACCAAATGAGGGCTAGCAATGGACAAATTTTTATCTTTGTGCAAACAGAACTAACTGATTTGAGACTACCAAAGAATTACTCAAAGGGGACTGCTTTAATATACTAGAGTAATTTCATTTGGTAATGAGATACCCAGAGGCGTTATCAACCAGAGAGGTAGATTTGAATGTCTGGAAGCCATGGCCACCCACTGAGTCACATCAGCCCTCACTTTCTGTCTTGTATGGACATTGATTAGCTGGAGAACCAGATTTTATTCACACTGAGTCCGACAAAGAAGCCAATTAGGTCTGAAACAGTGAAATGCTAGGTAACCGACCATTTCCAGGTAAAATAAGAGATGAAAAAGAAAACATCCCATGAAACAATGTCACAGCAGAATCAGACCTGGAGCTCAGCTGCTCTAGAGTATGGAAAAGAAAAGGCTGCCCTGAGATCTTTGGATTCCCAAAGTCATGGCAATTCCAACTGTTGACACCAAGAGGAGGGATCTGGCCGCCAAGGAAAAAAAGGGCCAGCTGAACCCCAGCTCCTGGAGCACATCAGCATCAGTACAAAAACAAATGGAAGTCTCACATAAGCCAGGGGAGACAAAAGAAATGTTCTGGAAAAGACAAAACTAGACCAATTTCCATGAAGAATTCCCATGTGGGAAGGCAAGGACAACAAGAATGCAGGTATAATATGGAGATCGTAACACATCTATAGATGCATTTTTTGTTACATAAGGCTGAGAATTTGTTTGAAAGTTATCACTTTCTTCCTCAACAGGAATTAATTGTACTGTTAAGTTAGAAATTGAGATGACTGTCTGTGTAGATTAGAGGAGTGTGAGGGAAACTCACTTGGAGGAAACAAAAAATCTCTAGTACTAACCCATTCTCAAAATATACTTCACAATGCTGTAACTGAAAAGGCAAGAGACATTATCACCTTTATTGCATGTGTGGTAAACCTGGTCCATAATGAAATTGCCATTGCCTTTCTCATTTTTATTTTTAATTTTTTAGAAATGGGGTCTTGCTTGTTGACTAGGCTGGAGTGCACTGGTGCAATCAATAACTTCCAGCCTCAAGTGATCCTCCCACCTCAGCCTCCCAATGTGCTGGGACTATAGGCATGTGCCACCAGGCCCCACCAGTTTTTAATTTTTAGTTTTTTATAGAGATGGGAGTCCAAGTCCGCCTTCCTTGGACTCCCAAAGTGCAGGGACCACAGGTGTGAGTCTCTGCACCTGGCTTTTACTTTCTTTATGATGCAAAATGCAAAGGACAAATATAAGATTTTGCTTTTAAGGATTGCGTTGCTTCTATCTAATTTCAAAAAGGCTAAAGAGAATAACACCTTTTCCTAAATCTTCAGAGTACGATCTTAAAAGATGATTCTCTTTAAGCTAACTGCCAGTCTGATTTTTCAAGTGAAAGAAAATATGACTTTGGCTATTTGGATAAAATGATATATTCTTGCTAATCCTCATGGTCTAAAATACACTGATAATAAGGGTTTCAGAGAGGCTGTAGGGAAAATTATCATCTATAATTTTCTCTTCCCAGAAGAGTATATCTGTTTTCTGGAGCCATATCCCTTCCCCTGATTTAAAGACTCAATTCATAAGCCAATTACTACCAGGATATGAGCTTTTTTTTCCCTAAGAAAATAAAGATTTAATAACAAATTTATTCATTTATTTATTTTTTATTTTATTTTAAGTTCTGGGATGCATGTGCAGGATGTTCAGGTTTGCTATGTAAGGAAACGTGCACCATGGGGGTGGCTGCACCTGTCAACCCATCACCTAGGTATTAAGCCCAGCAGGCATTAGCCATTTATCCTGATGCTCTCCCCTCCCCAAGCCCCAACAGTGATGTTGCTCCCCTCCCTGTGCCCATGTGTTCTCTTTGCTCAGATCCTACTTATAAGTGAGAATTTGTGGTGTTTGATTTTCTGTTCTTGTGTTTGTTTGCAGAGGATAATGGCTTACAAGCTCCATCCATGTCCCTGTGAAGGACATAATCTCCTTCGTTATTATGGCTGCATCGTATTCCATGGTGTCTAGGTACCATATTTCTTTATTCAGTGTTTCACTGATGTGTACTTGGGTTGTGTACATGTCTTGTTCCTGTGAATAGTGCTGCAATGAACATACACATGCATGTGTCATGGGATCTAATTAAAATAAAGAGCTTCTGCACAGCAAAAGAAACCATTGTCAGAGTGAGCAGACAACCAACAGAATGGGTGAAAATTCTTGCAATCTATCCATCTGAGAAAGGCCTAAGATCTAGAATCTACAAGGAACTTAAACATATTTCCCAGAAACAACCCCATTAAAAAGTGGGCAAAGGACATGAACAGACACTTCTCAAAAGAAGACATTTATGCGACCAATAAACATACGAAAAAAAAAACCTCAGCATCACTGATCATTAGAGAAATGCAAAGCAAAAGCAAAACTACAATGAGATACCATCTCATGCCAGTTAGAATGGCAGTTGTTAAAATGTCTGGAAACAACAGATGCTGGTGAAGCTGTGGAGAAACTGGAACCCTTTTACACCATTGGCATGAATGCAAATTAGTTCCACCATTGTGGAAGACAGTGTGTGAATCCTCAGAGTTAGAACAAGAAAAACCACTGGACCCTGCAATCCCACTACTGGGTATATACCCAAAGGATATGAGATTTTATTGTAGTCACCATGGACTGTACCAGAAATGCTCACAAGACCCAAACAGGTCTGATGGTGCTCCCCACTTTGGCCATAGGTGCCATGTCAACAGATGGAAGCTCCACACCACAGCCCTTCACCCACCTGGGCTGAGTGAGAGTAAGGGTGGGAGATGCCTGGTGTGGAGGTCCTGGCTTCTATGCCGTGTCTGACCTGTGTGGACCAGGCTACCTGCTATGCTGAGGCTGAAGGCCAGCCATGAGAAAGAGAGGTAAAGGCATCATTGTCCAAGTGGTGTCCAGTAACCTGGGCCATTTCTCCTGAGGATACCCGTGTCCCTGACCCTTCTAATTTGTTTAAGTCATATTTGGTGATTTCTGGCAACTCTATCTACAGCTATCATGAAAATACCGACAATTGGTGATGGGAGAGCAGAGGGAATTAAAATCCAGTGCCTTTTAAATATACTTATGGAGTTTTCTGCTGATGGTACCCGTGCAGGGTGCTGTGCACAGAAATGGGGAACAACTCTGACTTACCCAAACACTTGGGCAGAGATCGGTCCCATAAGCCATTTGCCATACAGGTCAAGGCTGAAGATCCCAGCAAGTAAAATCCCTTCTTGCAATGGTAGAGGACACTCATTCCGTACTCAAAATTCTCAGGGAAGTTCTGCTGCCCGTGACGAATGGCGTTTTCCACAAAGCCTGGATCGGAACAGTTCACCACTAGAAAGTACAACATTTCAGACACCGTTTAGAAAGAGCTAGCGATAGCAAAGCAAGCAGGTCAGAGATGAAGGCGAATTCCTCATAACTTGAGAAGCTCAGAAACCGACAACCTGATGGCGGAGGCCCATGAAATGCCAGTCTCGAGGGCACTGACCACTTTGGGCCACTCTTCTTCAAGAAGTGTCAAGCAAAAGTGTCAATCGCTATCTACCACAATAGCAATTTTCACATGAGGCTAATTTCCTCTAGTTCCTAACAACGTTTCTTCATTGTAAATCCTGAAATTAGTTTTCTTGGCTAAGTTTTTATGTTCTAAAAATGATCAAACAGAATGGGCTGAGGTTCACTTAGTTTAAATGCTTTCACTTAAGAGTGGTGTTTTAGAACGGTAATTACCCCCAACACACACACACCTACATGCATTAGTGTTTTAATATGTGTGCCTAAAATAATTTTGCTCTATGTGGAACACAACTAAAAATGACAATTATTCCATCAACACTTAATAGGCATGCACATCAAGCCAGCCTCTGATTTAGTTCTCTTCTCCCTTTAGAAGCAGGCTTGTGGAGAGGCAGTCCTCTGCAGCGTGTGGGACACGCTCTGGTTCCTCTGAAAGGCATTAGCTTGAATGCCTGTTTGGCGTCTGCATGGGAATTAGTGATGTGCTTTTGCAGGTGCAGAGGAAAAGAAAAAAACCCTGATTACCTCATTCTTTGACCCACCCCACCAGTGAATGAGGCAGCTGTTACAGAGGCCACACTCTCTCCAGATATTTCTGGCTCAGAAAATCACTGTGCAAATGAATCTCAGGTGGGCTCTGCACACCATGGGTCCCAGAAGCTGAAGGCAAACGCAGTACCCAATCTGTGCATTTTATTTCTTCTCTATTCAAAAAAGGAAGGCTGAGGTCAGAATTGAGGCTTACAGCGTTCCCTTTTAGTGCAGTACAATGTTTTATGCTTCTTAAAACAATTCTGAGTTAACGGAAGAAAGTATAGAGCTATTTTGAATCAAAAAAGAAAAACAAACAAAACAAAAGCCTGTAGTTTTGGCAGATATCTTTTAAGGTCCCACAGGGCATTGCATCTGCAATAAAATTGTAACCAAATCTCTAAAACAGCAGGAATTACCTCCTGTGAGAAAATGGAATTAGCTTAACATGTGATTATTTGTATAACGTGGAAGACGACCACACTGTCCCATTCTTACACGAAGTTTAAGAGATGGAAACAGCTCCCCATGCCACACTTTCCTAAGGAGGTGGATAGCCCGAGGCTATCCACTAGGAACACTAAAGATACTGGTGTGTTCATGTTTGTGCTTATATTGCTCTTAGGAGACGGTCCAAAAGTAGTTTCAAACCATGACTGCATCAAAGTAGAGGAAGCCACTTAGGATAAATGAGTAGAAGGCTTTGACCATCTCCCACTAGGATGCCCGAGAGAAACCAAATGGCCCCAGGATGCCGAAGGCCAGATTGAGCTGATGCCAGCATTTCTCCTCCTTCTCCTTCATCTCTTCCTCCACCTCTGTGTCCTCTCCTCCTCCTCCTCTGCTTCCTCCTCCTCTTCCTTCTTCTCCTCCTCCATCTCCTTGTCCTCTCCATCTCCTTTTCCCTCCTCCTCTTCCATCCCTCTTTTCCTTCTCGTCTTTCTCATCCTCCTTCTCTTTCTTCCCTTCCTTATCGTTTTCATCTTTTCTTTGTCCCTCTCTTAAAGCTTCAGTGGCAGACAGGTATTTATTGTGCAGTAACAACAGGACCCGACGCTTCCTTCTCCCTGCAGGCAGAGAACTAAATGTTCTCTGAACTCCTCCATGGCTGATGAAGGAGGATTTATAATACGTGAGTTTCACCACCTTGCTGTGAAACTATGGACTGGAATTCTCTTTAAGGGTCACTCTTGGAGATGATAGACCCCTCTTCTTGGCAATCATTCTGCAATGCTAGATTGTATTAGAATTGCTCGGAAGGTGTGCGTTGAAATGCTAAGCCCTGAGTTTCTACCCCTTCTTTTCCTAGTTCAATATCCTTAACATACTGAGCAGTGAAAAATGTTTGATAGCAACAAATATTCTTTGAGCTCCATGTGGGGAAACTGAGTGGACCTTAAAATGAAAGAAGCATGGATACAAATACTCTAAATCTGCTCGCTCATTTTTTCAGTCCTGCATAGAGTTTCAGTCAGAAGTATTTTCTTTTATTCTTTCCTATTTAATTCTGAGGCTCCATTAAGAGATTCACCTGTTTCTATGTGCTGGAGGAAAACTAGGGCAGGAATAATTCAATTTATTTGTCCATGATAGAACTTCCAGATTATTGTTGCAAATGGGTGTGTTTTATCATACAGGGAATAATTTATCTTCCAGAAGAGTTTGTTAGTGACCAACCAATCCACACCAGCACCTTTCCCAGCTGTATTTGTTTTCCCACTTTATATGCAAACAATTCCTTTCCAGGGATCTGGTGGAAAGAGTCTTGTGTGACTGACAGGTGAGCTGTTGGTTTGGAAACTATAGGTAGAAATGGCCAGTGAAGTTCATGGTGTGGAGGTATGTCAGGCGCACCTGCAACTTCTCCAGACCTGGTTCAAGACACGGTGTTAAGTACAGGGTAATGCGTCAGAAAGAAATAAAGAGGTTCACTTTAGACTGATGAACCTCATTTTAACACCTTACCCCCCAATATGCTAAGACTTGATGTCCAGGTGTGAAAACCTGACATGGAACCTAATTTTGTCAGCTGGGAGGAACGAGAACACTGATGTCTTATATACATTTAGCCCAGCGTGGAGAAATTCCAATGAACACATATGCTGTGATCTGTGGCAACAGCTGGGTATGTGGAAGGGTAAAAGAAGAAGTTAATACACTGATCAATAACAGGTCCAAAGTCACGATGATCACTGAACTAGAAATACACAAGGATCAGGACCCCTGATCCTCGTCTGAACACATGTCTGGTATAGCATAATAATCAAATGCATCAGCATTCCTTGGTGACACGAATCCCAGCTGCACCCCACTCCCTTTTTCCTGGAGAGTACCAGCTGGAAATCTTATCCCTTCATTGGGTTCTACTCATCAAGCCATTTTCTCTGTATAGGCTCCCTAATCAGAGATGTCATCTTAAAGATGCTCAAGTAGAAATACAAACATGGCCGGGCGTGGTGGCTGCAATGACACCTGTAATTGCAGCACTTTGGGAGGCTATGCGGGCAGATCACTTAAGGTCAGGAGTTCGAGACCAGCCTAGCCAACATGGTGAAACCCCATCACTACTAAAAATACAAAAATTAGCCAGGTGAGGTGGTGGGCGCCTGTAATTCCAGCTACTTGGGCAGCTGAAGTAGGAGAATTGTTTGAACCAGGGAGGTGCAGGCTGCAGTAAGCCAAGATCATGCCACTGCACTCCATCCTGGGAGACAGAGTGAGACTCTGTCTGAAAAACAAACAAACAAAAAGCAAATATGGATAAGAACATCAGTTTCTATTATTTATTCTCTTTCAAACTTTTTTGAGGACCATGGAGGTCCTTCTTATCCAGTGATGTCCCTATTCTCAGTTAAGTGAATGTACTGATTGCCTGATGAAGGAAACATGAAAACACCAGTTTGAGATTTAATGGCAAATGATTTGAGCAGTTTTCCCAGCTCCATGATTGGTCACTGCTCCTGTGGCGTGCCTCACATCATGGGTCTCAGCAAAGCACCCGCCCTCTGACCAAGGCTCCTCCTCTAGGAGCTGCTAGTGAGTGCTGCCATGTGCTCACTAACCAGCTGCTTCCCTCTCCAGACTCCCTTCTCCGGGACCAGAAGCAATAACTGCTCCACATCCTCACTTCTTTTCAGAACCCAAAGCAATGGCCGTGTTTTCCTGAAAATCCCCCTAATGACAGAGAAATATGATACATTCCCATCCCAGGTTCCTTCTCCAGCTGCTGATCAATAGAAATGAAGCTGCCTCTCTGCACACTGGTCTCTTCTAGGCAGTTTGGCTCTAAGACGAAGGGCAGTCACAGGGTATCGCGTAAGAGTCTGGTAGTCTCTCCATGGCACGGAGGTTTTTGTTAGGAGCTTGAGCTTTGCAAGATGTTCTCTGCCTTGGAAAGTGAAAAGGGACGATAATCCCCATACATTTGTTCAGAAGTATTCACCTACGGCCCACGGTCCCAGAGCTAGGCAAGGGATTGAGAAAATGAGGTACTTTGAAATGCCTCATCTGTTAGGTGAGCCCGTTGGTCAGAGGCATTGAACCTGGGAAGCACAGAACTGCTCTGGTCCTTCTTTACCCACTGCCTTTGCCATATTTCAATGTGATCATTTCCCTTCAGTTGTAGATTGCTTTCCTTATGGTACGTTAGCAACAGCAGTTGACTGCTACTGCAGATATACCAATTCAGATAAACTTGGGCACACATCCTCTGGCAGCAAAGCCTTATACAATATACATCATCTAAAAGGTGATTTTCCTAAGGTCTTGTGCTTCCATAGGCCAACCATTTCTAGGGTGTAACATTAAGGGTACTTTTTGCTTATGTACAAACTTCATAAAGACATTCAATGTTCTTTCACTTGAAATCGCAATGCTAAAATAGTTCCTAATACCCCTGGCACACTGATACATTTTGAGCTTTTATGTTATGTAAAGTATTTAAATTTCTGTACCAAGGTAAGCACTAAAACATACTAAATATGCATCTACGATGGAAACTGCCACTGTTGGAAATGTAATCAATGACTTAATTAGAAATAATAAAAAGTACCGAAGTTTATAGTCATCAAAATGAAACCAGAATGATTTTCTGAACACAGATATGGACTTATACTAAGACTTGAAAAGTCTCAGAGAATAGAAAACATTTCTTTAAAAAGCAATCTGGAATTTAAATTTGTTTTTACAATAGACATGCTTCAAAATTGCCATTTCCTTATGAGCAAACGTTTTTGAAAGTAAAATTTGTTAATTAATAATTGATTAATGAAAACATACCTTTTTTTAAAAAAAGCAAAAATTCAAATGGAATCACTGAAGTATTCAAATGTTGCGAAAGAAAAAGGTGTTCAAGCAAAGGGTACTTCTATGTTTAAATACATAAATAACATTCAATCCAGAGCTGTGTTTTCTGTCTCTGAGTTTTCAGTAGTCATGAAAGAGACATTGATACATTCCTGGGTTTAATTTCATCTTACTACCAAAAAAAAAAAGCCAAAACAAAAAACACTTCCCCTTCACACTAAAGTACGATGCACCATCAACAAGACAGATGTTGGAATGGAAAGGAATTGAAGTAAAATCTTAAACACTGTGAACTCAAACATCTAGAAATGCAAACAGACAGGACAGAATTTTCTTGGAAACTCAGATCTAGCCCAGGTCTCTGTGCCTATGTTTAAAGAAATGAATCAAAAAATAAATAACTGAAATTTAAAAACACTAAGCACTTAGTAAAGGCATTCATAAAATTAAAAGCATAAGGGCCCCAAAATGCTAACTATACAGGGTGGAAACAAATGTGTCCGTGAATGAATAAAAAGAGAAATTGAAGATGAGTTATTTTTAAAGGCAAGAATTCTAGATTTTCATGATTGTACACCTGGCCACAGGACAGGAAAAAGCCATGGAGAGATTTGTGCCTACTCTCAAAAACTCTTTCGCCCCTGAATGCTGAGAGTTTGCAGAACTCTTTTTTTTTTTTGAGAGAGTCTCCCTTTGTTGCCAGGCTGGAGTGCAGTGGCTTGATCTCAGCTCACTGCAGCCTCCGACTCTCCAGTTCAAGCGATTCTCCTGCCTCTGTCTCCCGCGTAGCTGGGCTTATGGGCACGCTCCACCACGCACAGTTAATTTTTGTATTTTTAGTAGAATGGGATTTCACCATGTTGGCCAGGATGGTCTCCATCTCCTGACCTCGTGATCTGCCCGCCTCAGCCTCGCAAAGTGCTGGGATTACAGGAGTGGGCCACCGCGCCCGGCCCTGCAGAACTCTTTATACTTCGCCCTTGATTCATGGAGACAGGCTCTTTGGTGTTACTGGGCAGCCTAGAACACTCTTGGAGCAAAGGGTTCATTCCTGGACGCTTTTCCTACCTCGACACGTGGGCAGAGGGCTACTCCACTGGCCATTGCTCCGACACTGGGCTCTGGACGCACCTTGCAGCAAAAAGCCTGTGTTGCAGGTGAAATTTACCACATCGTTCAGGTTGAACTCACTGCCATTGGTGAACCCGTGGGCGGGGTTTCCAGGGTGACCACAGGTGATGGCTGTAGAGAGACAGGTCAACATCATTGTTAAATATTGCACATGTCATCCTTTCCCTTGGGATTATTTACTAAGAAACACGCAGGCATACTAACTGCATGGATGGGAGGTTTTCCACTAATCAGAATGTTTATAGATGGTATTTATATTCAAAAGGGAATATTGGAAGCTAGAACCACAGGCTGACCCTCCAGGCTTTTAATATAATTGTGGAAAATAACAAACACCTGCCAAACACACTTTCCTCATCATCGTAATCATTATTTCTCTCTTGAATCACGACAGAATACCAAATGACTTAAAAATGAAGCAGCGAAAAAGAAGAGATGCTAAAAATTCTTCTATCAATCAGGAGTTTTGAGTATTTTCTCTCTACACACCAGCTCAGATGGTGAAACCCTCCTTTTGAGACATTATGGGGATTTGTTTGATACTTTAAATTGTCCATGTATAAAATTATTGCAATATCAATTTAAACATCATGAAATTAGCAAAATAACTATGCACACTCAGGTCATATTTTTGTTGACAATCTCTTTTGCATGTTCCTCTGAAATGCAGTGAACTGTCATTATGTCATGCCCCAGAAAACAGGAAGGCAGATCAGGGAGATATATCCATCATTCGCCCTTTCAAGAGAAACACAGTACATTCATAAAACTGGTGTTTTCTTCCTCATTTATCTTGTCAACAACTTTTTTCCTCTAAGTAAAGCTTTCACCCTTGAACTTCATACATTTTTCAAGACACTATTACAGATAATCCTTGTCACTCTTGGATAGTTTGTCAACATTTCTTTTGCCTAATTCATAGGAAAATATAGAATATATTAACAAACAATGGGTTTAAGTGCAATTGGGCAATAAAGTCAGAGTGTATCATTCTAAAAATACTAGTCAGTATCTCTGAAGTTATATAGTTTAAGATTGATCATTACATGTAATGTTATTGCTTTCTTTTCCTGGTTTTTTTTTTTTTTTTTTTTTGAGATGAAGTCTCGCTCTGTCACCCCAGCTGGAGTGCAGTGGTACAATTTCGGCTCACTGTAACCTCCATCTCCCGAGTTCAAGCAATTCTCCTGCCTCAGCCCCCCTAGTAGCTGGGATTACAGAAGCCCACTGCCACGCCCAGCTAATTTTTGTATTTTAGTAGCGATGGGGTCTCGCCATGTTGTCCAGGCTGGTCTTGAACTCCTGACCTCAGGTGGTCCACCTGCCTCGACCTCCCAAAGTGCTGGGATTACAGGCATGAGCCACCACACCCGTCCAATTTTATCTCTTTCTAGTAAAAGAAAGTGTGCTTACAAAACTCCCTATATTCTTGATAAAACAATGACAGAAATACATGCAACACAGATGAGAAAGGGAGTGCCGCTGTTTCTAGGACCCCAGAGCTGCCTGGCAGACCCAGACTCTTCACCGCCACCCTCCGACAATTGACATTTCTCTCCACCCAGTTTATCCTGTGATAAAATCAGGGAGGAGGAATCCATGACACCACTTGGTCGGGGAGCCATTTAAAATGAATTAATGAGCAAATTAAGCGTGGAGTCTGGAAAAGGAGTTTGTGGGAAAGAAAAAGGGAGGGAGATGAAAAAAAAAAAGGCAGTGAATGTGACAGTTCTGTTCTCTTTCTTTGTACAGGCCAAAGAGAAAGTTTGCTTTTCTGTTTCACAGTGAAGATTACACGGGTGTGTGTTGTGACCTAATAACAGAAGGGACTGTGGCAAAAGGAAGCATCTGATGAATTCGTCCACAAAGAGTGCACTTACGGACACAGACGGGCGTTTGTCCAGACCACCTGTGGTCCTGCAGGCATATCCTCACGGAAGTTCCAACGAGCCGGAAACCGGGATTACACTGGTAAACCACCGTGTCCCTGTAACTGAAGCCATCTCCACTAATATGACCGTTCACAATTGGGTCTGGGGAACCGCAGTGGCCAGCTAAAAACATAAAGCCAATTTAAAATTTAGAGTGCTTGTCATTTATAAAAGCAGTACCAAAGCACAGAGACTGCAAGCAAGATGGATGGAATATTGACCCTATTTTCATAGCGAAGAAATAGTGTACTTCTCAAGCAAAATGTCAGGAGGAAGGCTCCAGAAGGCTGAAAGGCCTAATTTCTTGATTGGTCAAGTTTTGCCTGCAAACGACATTTGTGCCAGAGCACACAGGAGGGCAGAAAGTGGCCTAATTCCACCTGTGAGTTCAGTTTAGTCTGAGGTTCCTTAGCGACAGACACAGGGGACACCACTCACTCCATTAACTTTGACTTACGCTAGGGAAGGCCGCACATCTGCAGTTCATAGAATTTAACAGAGGAGAGCAGGGGACCCCTGAAAGGCCAGCCCCTCAAAGCCTTGTTTCTAGAATTGCATCTAAACTCCACTGCACAGGTGTTTTAGTGTAAGTTAAAAAAACCTTGCTGAGAGAACAAAAGGTTGTTTTGTGTGTTTCTTTCCAGTGGAGTGAACATTCAGAAATTGATTCCTGAAGAAACCCGGTGCCCTCAGGGTCCTAGCATGCTCCCCTGGGTGACCTGTGTTTTCTGGAATGTGGTTCGATAAGGCTGCGTTTTAGAGGAGGAATCTTATTGGCATACCGGATTTGGCATTGTTTACGCTATCCATGCTGTTTTTCCGCACTTGCTTTTGATACTGAAAAAAGCCAAGCAGTTTGCAACCTAAAACCACCACACTGATTGTTATTGGTGACTTTCTGAGTGACCGACACAGGTGGACGCTGAAAGAGACCTGAGGTGCTCGTTAGCAGATTTACCTTAACATCTCACACATGCACACAATGAATACCTCAAATGCAAGTAAAGCAGGTGAGAGTCTCTGACAAGTACCTAGACCTGTGTGATTTTAGAAATGGCTTCCTCGATTTGGAAATTTAACAAAGTTCCACTGTTTCACTTATCCCACAGAAACCCCCTATACCAGTGGAAATGGTGCCACCAAGTGTCCCATGGCATAGCACAGACCTAGAGCCCTGCATTCTTAGGGCTGTTGGTAGCACGTTCCATTAACTGTGGGATCTCTCTCCTCTCACAGGGTCTCCCACATGTGCATTTTCCCCCTAGAAGGGCCCGCTTGAAGGTCAGCTCTTCAACGCGCAAGTCTGTAGCAGTACAAATACTAAATATTGGTCTGGGGATTAGAACTGAATCCATTTTTAGAAAATCCATAAACCAAATATTCAACCTCAGTATTTGGTTTGTGATTATTGGTACTTATTGCTGAAAATAGAACACATTACAAATATCCTGTGCCTGTAGGGGAATACAGTGCGCCTTATTCTGTCCATTCCGTGCAACCACACGTTTGCCTGTAGGGGAATACAGTGCGCCTTATTCTGTCCATTCCGTGCAACCACACGTTTGCCTGTAGGGGAATACAGTGCGCCTTATTCTGTCCATTCCGTGCAACCACACGGTCTTTGGGCTAAAGTCAGTTATTTGGGCAGTACACTCCAAGGCTAATTTGCAAACTGTTCTTGAGTATTAACGCATGGTCATAAAATGTCAGGTGGATCAGATTCACATATACGCAGGAAAAACTATGATTAGCAGTAAACATCAATGGACGTATTTAATTCTCTAGATCTGCATATACTAAAAAATCACATTTGAATACTAATAAATGAGGTTTCTTCTCCCCACCAAGTGCAATTTCTAGGGACAACACTGAGTGACTTTGCCTATGCATAGATTTGCGTGGTGTCACAGAGAGTGTGCGGAATTTGTCCAAGGCATGGAGGTATTGGGCTTGTAGATCATACAACACTGTGCTGTTCATGACAGCATCAAGCATAGGCCCAAGTCCTCTGTCACAGATCCATTTCGCCCAGTCTCTGCTTAACACACCTTAGTGAATGACAGCTCTCTTAAACCGTATTTGGTTTGAAGAAAACCTCAAGCCAGGGCCAGTGATTTGGACTATTGTTGGGGCTTTCAGAAATCTTTCATCTGTTCCTCGTCTTGATGTAGTTCCTGAATAAACCACATTTTCCACCTGCTTCCCTGGGCCTGTCCTGCCTCACTGGGCTGAAGCTTCCTCTGCAGTCTTGCCTGCCGATGCCACATCTTCCTGTCCCTCTAACCTCTCTGCCCCACGTGTGCAACCTCCACAAACCCCAAAGGAAGCGCTGCTCATTCCTACAAGAAGCAAAGTTCTCCCTTGCTTCGGGCTTTTTCCTACAAAGGCAGAGCCTATCTTTGGTCCTGCCTATTTAAAGCACCAGCCTCCTATTTTCTATTCTGTTTTGCTTGGGGTTCAGCAGATAGCATTATGATTTTTCCTACCAATTCACCTCCATGATTGGACTGTGAGTTCTGAGTGCAGCACCATGCTCTGTGCACCAGGACTCAGCTCAAAGCCTCGCCTAGAGTGGGTGTCAGAGGGATCAGACCTTTTCCACTATCTGGTGGCCCTATCGGTCCAGGCTCTCGTGACCATGCGACGATTGAGAGTTCCACCCCAGCACCTGCTCGTTTCAAGCAAGTCAGGCTTCCTAGGCCATAGTCCACATCTACGCTGTCGCTCATGTTCACAGCTCTTGCTGTCTGGAATGGCTTTACCCCATGCCTACTTGCTGGAATTCCACCTAAAGCCAGGTGGCTTCCATTACATCTGCTCCTCCGTCAGCCTCCAGTTGCTCCCACTCCCACCAGGATTTCTCAAGTACTTTGCCTACATCTCCCTTTTGCTATTGTTCTCCACTTTTTTTTTTTGATACAGAGTCTCACACTGTAGCCCAGGATGGAGTACAGTGGCACAATCTCTGCTCACTGCAACATCCATCTCCCGGGTTCAGATGATTCTCCTGTCTCAGCCTCCTGGGTAGTTGGGATTACAGGTGCCCACCACTATGCCTGGCTAATTTTTTTTTTTTTAAGTAGAGATAGGGTTTCACTATGTTGGCCAGGCTGGTCTCCGACTCCTGACCTCATGATCCACCCACCTCAGCCTCCCAAAGTGCTAGGATTACAGACATGAGCCACGGCACCTGATCTATTCTCAACTTTTATTAATGTTACTTGGTCTTGACTTTATTTATTCCTCGGAGTATAGATTTAATAAAAAGAAGAACTGTATTTTATTAACCTCTGAATGCTGTACCATAGTTCTTGAGGAACAAGAAAAATATCATTGAATAATATTCAGAAACATGACAGAAAAAACCACAGCTGAGAATTTTGCTATTTATTCCCTAGCCACTGACAATGCATTTGCAAAATTTGACGACTGGCATTGGGAATTTTTCTGACTATCATACAGAACATATTTTATACTTAAGACAGAATAGCAAAGATGAGGGGCTAGTCTTTCTGCTCCGACATTACCTCTGTGCTGTGATATAAGCATTATCATAATCAGTTGTTTTATTAAGTATTTTTATCTTTCCAATTACCTTGTATTTACAAGGCAATTGAAGAATGTATTCAAATATGACTGTAAGAACTATGAACAACTACAGTCTAAAAACAGTATTTTGAATCATATCATCAGCTATTTTAGCCATATAAATAGCCATGATATTGTATTTATGGAGCAATTCATCTCCTCATAGGTTTTAATAGTGCAATAAATGCAAACTTATTTCAAATGAAAGCAAAAGAATCTAATAAGATAATGTCCTTTATGTGGGAAATATCTCATTCTGTCACTAATATCTTGAATACTGGAGATTAAAGAGGTAATACAACAGGAGGGGTTGGGTTCTCTAAGTGATGTAAAATGTTTTCAGAATATGAATATGGGATTCTGTAACAGGAAACCTAGACCATAAACCACAGCCTCTTTCTAGCTGGTGTGCTCTCTGTTGGTTTAAGCAAACTACCACAGGGGAGATAAACAGGAGAAAATAATTAAGGGATCACGTGGATTAGCAGGTGCCTGAGAGAGTGGATACCAGGTCAGCATTCTCAGGGCTTAATTTGCAACCTGGGGAGATGTGTCGCATTACACAGTACAGTGGGTAAATTAGAGCAGGTCATTGGCAATTTGCAGAACTCTGGGAGTTCCTGGCAATAGTGCAGGAGCTATCGTGTTGATGGAGGGATGGCTACATTTTATAACAACGTATTCTGATGCACCTCTGCATTACTTTGCTTGAAATCTATTTACAATGTTGTTTTCATGCACGTTCCATTTTCTCTCAAAGTTTCTTCTTAGAATCCAGATGAGGGACCTAAAACACAGCATGGGTTGAGTTCTTGAATATTAGGCATATAAAGTCATCTTTCCTTTCCTTAAATACGGCTCTCCCATAGTTGACATTCTCAGTACTCGGTCTGTCAAAGTTCATCTATTCCCAAGCTTAGCCAATCCAGCTGCGATGCTCAAAAAGGATTCTGGCATATTCTCCCACATTGGGAATCAGTGGAGACAACTAGCAGGCCAGAAGTATGATTCACGTTGCACGTGAAACCGAAGCACAATCTCAGGAAGTAATATTCTTTCTAGTAGCCCTAAAAATAAACTACGAAATATCTCAGCCACAATTTGGGGGAAAAAAATGCTTTTGTCAAAAAGTCTTGCATCAGGATGGAAAACATAGTGGGCCTAGGCTATAGAGCCCAAGGAAACTTAATTTAAAGAACCAAAGTGGACCCTGCCTTTTGCATAAAGTCTTCGTTGCCTTGTTGGGCAGATCTACCCGTTTACAAATATACAAATGAAGGGGGATTTGGGAATGTTTTACACTGATTCCAAAACCTATCTCTCTGTACACGGTGCCTGCTTGTTGTGGGTTGGCTATACCCTCACCCAAATCTCACCTTAAACTGTAATACTCCCCACTTGTGAAGGGTGAGACCAGGTGGAGATAATTGAATCACGGGGGCAGGTCTTTCTGTTCTCGCGGTAGTGAATAAGTCTCACCGGATGTGATGGTTTTATGAGGGGTGTTCCCCCCCGACCCCCGACGCGCTCCTGCC